AAATTAAAATAAAATTTTCGTTAAAAAAATATATGCAAGTATATACAAAATTATTAAATAAATAAAAGCTTCTTTTAATACTTAAGATAGGGATGGGTTGAAAAAAAAGTAGGGTTGCGTTTTGTAAATTTTCTCTGGACAAATTTCGGATCGAAAAAAGTTCGGATATACTAGGTAGGGTATCGGATAATTTACCCCATCCCTGTTAACCAGTCAAGACCAAATAAACTCTATTAACTATAGCATAAATTATTTTATTGAAACCCTCCAATATTTTATATAATTTAAATTATTTAGTTAAGTAACTATAATAAATAAAATAATTATTTCTTTCTTAACTACAAATAAAAGAAAAATTTATTGCCAGTTATTTAGCGCTAAACTCTAAAATATATTAAATTGAGAGAAATAACAAGGTTGTTTTTATTATTTTAGCACAGTTTGCACAGTAGTGGACAAATGGGGGGAAGCCAAGAATATTTTTTATTTTTAATGGCTAACAAAATAAGGAAATGAAAAAAAGCTTTTAAAAAGTCAATTTATATTTAAATAAAAATTAAAAATATTTATTTTTATAATATAAAATATATGACTAGACAAAATTTTGAACTAAACTTTTACTTGTAAATAAATAAAAAATTTATATAGACCTTAATCTGTTTATAAAAATTTAATTAAAAGTGGGCGTGAAAGTACTTTAATTATTAATTTAGGTATTTTTGTTGAAATGATAAATTTTAATTTTTTTTAATTTAAATTAATTTATTTAAAATACTTAAAGTATTTATACTTAATTTTACAACAAAAATTTACAGCTACAAAATTTCCCAAGAAAAAAATAAAAGCAAAGAAGTAAGCAAAAAAGCAAATGGCTGACTAAAAGCTAAGTAAATGCTTTATTTGGGTAAAAATAAAGTGTATATATGGGGAGAGTAAAAAGCGGGTTTTATTACTATTTTTGACTTGAAAAATAAAAATAAATTGATTTAAAAAATTCTTTTTTTTAATTATCCAGGGGTCGGTTGGAAATAACCTCCAAATTATAGATGTACTCTTTAACCCCTTATAATACCCGATATTACGTCCAAATCCTTAAATATTCCTTTGTCCCCCCAAATCCACACATATCCCATTTAATCCTTCTTAATTTTGAAATTAAACTTAAGTCAAAACAGAAAAATTAAAACAGTAGAAATTTTGAGAAGTTTAGAGTTCAAGAAGCTGATTTCTTCCATTTTTAGAGCCACAGGCGAATTTTGAAAATTTTGGCCAAAATTTTCTGTCAGAATAATGCTTCAAAAATTATTTCAAGTTTATCAAAATTTTGGAGATCGGAAGCGAAAAAATGTCAGAAACCGAAATTTCGATCGACCTACATATGATAAGTACTATAGTTCAAATTTTTTTAAGTTGAAAAAATAATTAATTTTAAGAAAAAGATTTTAATGTCTAGACCGCTTTAAAATAAAAAATATTTCTATAGTATTTTCATGTGAGTCGGAAAAATTTTTATGTAAATTCTCATTTATAGTTTTATTATTATTTTGAATTTTTTTTGAATTTATAAGTAAACAAAAAAAGAAAAATAAACATTTATGCAAATATTTTACAGAAAAATATTTTAAAAAAAAGTTGCAAACATAAAATAAATTTTTAAATTTATTTTGTTTTTAGTGACGAATATTTATAATTTAAAAATTTAAAAACTTTTAAAAAATTTTAGTAAAGAAAGGTAAATTGTATAACGAAACAAAGGGTTTTAGTTTTAGCATTCGTTTTCTTTAAACAAGTAAACTTTCCTTGGTCACTAAATTCCCTTTTCGAATAAACTTTAATTCTTTTTTAATGAGACTCTTCAAAATTTACAAATTTTGAAGATATTGGTGTTTTTTTGTTTTTAATACTTGGTGTTTTATAAACACATACATAATTATAATTTAATTTTAAGGGAAATAAAGAATTAACAGAGTAATACAAAATTTAATTGAACTTGAAATTTTATGAATTTAAATACAATAATATATTTAATGAGGTTTTTTAAAATTGTTGCTTTAAACGAAAAACCATATACAAAATATCATGCCAATTACAAAAACATTTAAAAATTAGAAGATTCGAAATGAAATTTTTTGTTTTATATTTTTAAGTGGAAATATTTAAAAATTAGTCTGTTGTTTTTACGATTATGATTTTTATATTTTTATCTCAAAAAACTTGATAATTATATTTATTTTATGTACGGAGTTTCTGACAGATAAAAAATAGAAATTAAATAAAATCGATGTAATTGCCAAATTTTAATCAAAAAAAAAAGAAAAAAGCAAATAAATTTACATAAATTGTCAAATATAAAATCGATGAATTTTAAAAGAAGATTTTATAATACATTAAAATAAAAAGTTGATGTTATTTTAAAGAAAAAACAAAAAAAAATTTAAATTTACCATAAATAAAAACACAAAAATCTTATAATTTTTATGTTATCCTTCCACACAAAATTAGCTGTTATTGTTAGGTGGCAAATGAGAGTGATAATGCTGTTGGCCATTACCTCCTCTAATTCTTAATTGATGTTGCTGTTGATCATCTACAACAACTTGTTGTTGTGATGCAAGTCTTTGTTGTTGATGTTGTTGCTGTAAAGCATTTTGTATAGCGGTTTGGACATTTTTGAACTTTCTAAAACATTTCTGTTTCTGCATATGCTCCATAAAAATATCCATATATTTTCTTCGTCCCTGTGGTTGTTGTTGATCATGATGGCTTGTAGGAGGTAATAAACGAAATAATTCACGAGTAATCAAAGCCAAATCACAAACCTTCAAAAATATTTATTTTAAATTTAATAAAATATTTAAACTCACATATTCTTGGTCAGGTGCATTAAAATTATTAAAGTTCAGTTTATGAGATGCTGCAGAAAATGCAGTCGAAATAGCATGAAGAGCCAATTCAACAGCAATTCCTGACATTGAATGTTGGGTCATTGCATTCCTTGCCTGCTGCATACATAATTTTGCCAGATCTCCATTTGATGACAAAAGAATAGCCTCAATTTGACCTGTGCCAGGGATTCGATGTGAATTTGGTAATTGATGGAAGAACTGAAGTTTTTATGAATTAAATCATAAAAAGAATTACCAACCTTTAAAATACTCTTAAAAAGTTCAATAAGCACAAATGGCGAGCTAATTGAAGCAATCACTTTTTCGCAAAACATCCGAACATATTCAGGATCGCCAATCTCAATAGAAACATCCAATAGCCAACAAACATCGTCACACGATGGAGGATTCTAGAATAGATAAACCTGACTTTGCGGATTCAAATGTGCGAAAGCGAATTTTGTAGATCGACACTTGAGTAAAAAATAAAAATCAAAACCGACCCGTTATCGAACGCATTTGATCCAAGTTATAGTATAGTCGGAAGAGACAGGTTTTAAAAATTTTATGTTCTAATTCTATCTTGGTTATTCTAACAAAAATCTAATAAGATCTTTATTATTCTTTTTACTCAATTGCCAATCTGCAAATTTCACGCCACCCAATTAAATTTTAACAATTTTGTTTTTAATATCAATAATACCTTGGCAAATTTTGCAGAAAGGCTATCTGAACTGCGCAAATTATTCATGGCCATAATACCAAGACGATGTGCATTGTGTATAAGATAAAGAGCCCTATCATCCAAAACAACCAAGCGACCAGTTGTCATAGTTGTTGGAGGTGGAGGAAAACGATGTTGAAAATTTAACTAAAAAAGAGCAGAAATTTGAAAACTTTAGAAATAAAAAGATAATGGAAAATAATTTCAAAAACAAACTTGATGAAACCCTCGATTTTGCTGCTGTTGATTAAATTGTTGAATTGCAACAAGTTGTTGTTGCTGAAGTTGATTCTGAATCATAGTAACAGCACCAGCACTAGACGCAAATTGATGTTGATTTGCATGCTGGTGTATAGATGGAAGCATTCGGAGGTTTAATCCTGTAGGAACAAAATTTTGCTGAATTGACTGATTCATTGATGGAGCATAATCAACTGGATGAACAGCAAATGTTGTTGGTTGTGATTGTGCAATTTGTTGTTGCAAAGGTACTTGAACCCAAGCAGTGGCTGGTAAAATATTATTGGATTGTTGTTGAATTTCTCCAGCCATATTTGGAACAGAAAAACTCGGATGAAGACGAAATAAAGTATTCGAATTGTTGTTTGTTGAAGAGGTTGAACTGTCATTAGTTAAAATTGCAGCCGGTGCAGCAACTTGTGGCAACGGAGGAGGAGGAATTGAAGGCGAATAAAATGGAGGTGGAGGAAGATGCGGTGGCATCAAGTAAAGCGGTGGTGCTGTCGGAGGCACTATAAATAAGGTCAAAGTCTATTTATTTATTAAAAGCAAACAGTACTTTTAACGCTCAATATTTTCCTCTTGTATTTTTCCCCTAGATATACAAAACGTCAAGGTACTCTGAAATGGGGAAAAGCGTGGAGGTCGAGCAAAAAATCCACACTTGTAGAATATTAATGAATTAGTCGGTTGTGCTTCGATCTGGGCTCTTAAATGTTCATTCCATCCAGTGAGTTTTTTCACAGCATGACATGTTAGTACCAAGCATAAATTTTTTAATATTAAAACAGTGACAATACCAATGCAGAACTGCAATGTTGGCTGATGTTGTGTTACAACAGGCTGCCAGGTTGAAGCAGAAGTGACAGGTTGTTGTGTCGACCCCACGAAGGTATTTTTGATGTCAGTTGTCTGTAAAGAATGGAAGAAAGGAATTTGAGGAGGTGACTGATGATGGAGATAATATTGTTGTTGATGAGGAAAAGAATTAAGATTGTTCTTTTGAGTTGATTTATTGGTGTTTAAAGAAACATTTGAAGACGGTGGCTCACCAATAACACTCCCTTCCAACTCCGCAAGATGTGCAACATAGAGATTATACCAATGATGAGAAACACGAAAGAGTACCTTTACAAGAAATGTTACAATAATTACAAAATAAAAACCTCTGGATAGACACCGCCTCGTTGTGTAGATTTTTCTACAGCCAGGCAAGCATCCTCTAGCATTCGAGGCGAACGTTCTTTACATTGATTTAGTGCTTTGAGACTCTCCGCAGGCAAAAGAGAATTAGCCTCAGGAAGAACGCTCAGAGCAAGCTGAGCCGCTTCTTCAACAACAGACAAGTCACTACTTTGACTGGCTTTATCGGCGAGAGATGCAACCTCAGTTGGAGTTAAATGCTTGTGCCAGGTACGGCGAATGATTTCCAAAGCTTGACGACCTTAAAAAGGATAAAAACAAAAAAATTAAAAGAATCATTAAAATTATAGTACCAATATCTAACGCCTGTGCTTGAATCCAAGAAACATGCGTAGAATAGGTACGCGTATTCCATGAAGGAGAGCATTCATTGTTTAATCCCAAGGCATATAATGCAATCAACAACGAACAAATGTGTAAATTACGATGAGGACCAATTTGAGGAGCTCCCGCACCACCAAGAAAAGCAGCAGCACCTAAAGCAGCTGCAGCCATAGCTTGAACTGGATTGAACATGGGACTACTCTGATTTCCACCAGCTTCTAAAAGTAGAGCTTTAGCAAATTCAAACATATGGTGAGCCTGTGCCTCGCTAGCTTGATTCGCTAGCATTGGAAAAGGTTTAGAAATCGAAGAACGAGTTGAAGGGAAAAATCTGAAATTTTTAGAATTCATAAAACAATAAATACTGATGTGAATGTGTAAGGACCTGTCTCCTGAAATTTGTTGTTGTCCAATACCCAAATCGAATGGTGAACTGCTAGGAGATGTGGCTGTAGAAGTGGCACTGGATGATGATTGAATGGAACTGAAAACGCCAGTTAAAGAGCCAATCGATAACAGAGGTTGTTTTTTGTTGAATAATCCCTGTTGTTGATCAGGTGGAGAAGAAGGGCGCGGCTTTGAGTTTGTAATTGTAGCGGAAGATGAAAAGAAATCCACATTAGAACGGTTAGATTCTCTAAAAGAAGATAAATTATAATATAGAATGATAATAACAAAACTCACTCATAAATGCGATGCACTTTCTCATCAAGTGCAGTGGTCAATACTCGAGCTAATCGTTCAGGTGAGTCCCTATTTCTAGTGAAAAGCACCATCTGTAAGTCTTTACGATGACGTCGGATACATTCACACAAAAGTGGATGGTCACGTTCAGAAATATGCACATCTGAAAAAAACTAATCTGTTTATCAAATAATTTAAATAACAAGAATGATTTTAAATTATCAAAGCTGACGAACCCATGCTTAACACTTGAAGAGCAAGGTCAAGTGCCAATTGTTCATCAGACTCTAATCGATAGGTGAATAAATCCGATTGAAAACGTGGGAGCAGTATTTGACTAAAATAGAACAAGTAGATAGAGTAAGAATAGAATAAATTATGTTTTAAAATTCTACCAAGCATCAACTCCACCACTAAGTTGTGCCGCATTTCGTAGATGTTGTTGTTGGTAAGGAGAATAAGGGGAAGAAAGAACATTTACAATATAGTGCGCCAAACGTGTGGGTGGAACAGTAACACTAGTAGGTAAGCTGTCAACTGCCTAAAAAAACTTAACTACAAAATAAATCGAAAAATTTTTACCAGATTTTTGAGTAATTGTTGTGCTAGAGAGCGTACAATTTTCAAACCGTTAGGGCAAATCTCAATTCTATGCAATAATGTAAATAAATCGCCTTCCAATTGGTTAATCTCCATTTCTAGCAAACGAGTAGCAGATGGCCCACGCAAATTTCGCATGGTAGCCAGGCATAGTTCTAAAGCTAAGAGGCGATACTCTCCTTGTACTGAACTATTCGCACTTTTAGAAGTTTCTTTTGGGTTATCTGCTTTATGAGTCGTTGCAATATGTTGTCGTGAAAATCTTTTCATTTTACGATCAAAAAACTCTTCTCCAAGCATTAACAATTTAACAAGAAAGATTGTCTTAGTTAATGTATCTTTTGCATTAGTTGAATTAGCCATCAAACGAGGATGAGCACGACTGATTGTGAGACGTGCAAGTGTTGAATTAGAGTAAATTTCATTGGTCTCAGTGCGCCGAATTGAATCAGAACTAAACTGGCGACGAAAATGTGACTGACGAATGGAGTGTGGAACAGAGGAAAAAGGCTAAAATTTAAATTTCAGCATACTTTTCAGTTTTAAATTTCAGTTTAATAAACCTTTGCTATCAATTTATCGTTAGTCTTCCGCTCTGCTGCCTCATCTTCATTACTCTTCATAAGTTGTAAATCAGTCACTCCAATTGAGAGTAACAAGTTTGGTTGATTATTTATCAAATTTACAGACAAAATATTAGCAAATTGTAAAGATTCATTGAAGTAGCCATGTGCAAAAAGAGCCTCACAATACATAAAACGAAGAGTAAATGGATCATCGAAGTCAGCATGTGCTTCAGCAAAAAGTCTATCTAAAGCATCTTCATATTGCTCTCTTAAAAATTTATATGTATTTTCCCAAATAAAAATTTAAAACAAATAAAACCTTTTTGGTGGATCAGATTTACTACATTCAGGCTTCTGATTTTCTTCATCACTACTGATTTCGCTGACTTGTTCTTGATTATTTTTTAGATCCTCTTTTACATCTTGTTCCGAAGGTTGTTGGCGTTCTCGCCGCTTCCTGTTAGTACTTTCATTGTTCATTCCCAATTTTTGCAGTTTTTGACGCTGCTGTGCTTTTTTGTGTTTCTTTCGTCTTTTGGATGATTTCGATGATGGAACCAGAACGGCATCTGGATTGTAAGCAATTGATGAATTGCCCAATTGGCGCTCCATTTCCACTAAATCAATAAGTGTAATTCCATTATCTGCTTCACGCAAGAAAGGCAGGGTTGGGAAGCGACCGTGTTGTTTTTGAGCTATCTGAAACAAAAACAGATGAATTTAAAAACAAATATCTCGACTTATGAAATTGCTTGCCTGTATGTCAGTACTTAAACGAGGACACACATTCATTTCTCGCAACAATCTATGAGCTTCAGATCGCGTCCAACTAAACTGCTTACATGCCCTTAAGGCAGGAAAAAATGCCGGGAAGAAATTACGTCCAAATGGAGCATTTTGTTGGCAAAGACGATTACCACGAGCATCCATGGCGGTCCCAAAAACATACTGAATTTTATATAATAGATTAAAAATATTTCTACAAACATTTTCAGTAGAAGTAGCCTTCCCAAGAATTGTCCAAATACGCATAACAGACGTTCTCTGGTAGAGCTGTAGTAACACCCAAAGCTGCTCCCTTTCTTCAATAGTTAGTCGCGGATTTAAAGCAATAAGTCGCCAAAGAGACTAAAAATAATTCTTGTTAAGTTAAAAAAAATAGAAAAATTACAGCCAACTCTTGACAAAGCAAATAGCAAAGGCTAAAAAGAAAACTATCAACCATAAATTAAAAAATTTACTAACAGTTGGCGTGACTGGCTTTGTTGTGCATTACCATTTGCGCGTTGTCCACTACTTCCACCATTAGGGCCAATCAAGTACCAGTGTCCACTTGCAGAAAGCGAGATCTGATACCATCGGATAAGAACAGAATCAAGTGCTAAACATTCTTCAGTAAGTATATGAAGCAATGCAGGACCATTTGCATCATTACGTGTTAGCATTACCCGAACCTTAAAAACAAATTAAATGTTTAAAATGTAAATACAACCATTCCAAGCAGATTCCAAATAGATTCTGGTTGTTTTGCACATAAGGTTCTGTAAAGAATACTCCATTCGTAAGCCAAAGCAGGTGGAGAAGACAACAAACTTTGTACCTCACTAAAGAATTTATTAGTTATGAAAGCTACATAATTCGATTCAAACAAATTAAAAGAATATTTTTTAATGTTAAACGACATACCAAACCATGGCAGACGGACGCATAAAATTAATGAGAGTTTTTCTAACTTCTTCGTGCAATGCTTTCTCGTCCATACACCAAACCGCAGGAGTATCATCAGTCGGTCCGGCCTGTAAAGATAAACCAAAAATATTTTTAAGATTTTTAGGGCCACTCACAGTTGGATCTGGTGCACCTTGAATTTGATTAATCAGAGAATTATTGTCTTTTAGAGCGTCAATTAGTTCCTGAGCCACGGGAATGTACTAAAATTGTTAAAATATTAATAAAACTATTTGTAATTAACCTCTCGAGGAAGTTTATTTATCAAACATTGAACCATTTTTTTCGCTTGTATATCACGCAAAGATGTAATAGAATCCCAAATTGCAGGTCTATATTGCACTGTATTGGGCTGCTGAATACGTTGAAGGCAGGCAGCAACAGCATGTTGACACCAAAACGAGGTATTTGAACAAGAGCAAGCGCAGGAAACAATCCGACAGCGATCAACAAGAATGCAAACATCAAAAGTTTTGACGTTATTTTCGGATGCTTCTTTTGAAATGTACAATTTACTTAAAGATTCGCCACTTAAACCGCTGCCAGTATTATTTAATCCAAAGCGTTCTTGTACTTTAGCAGATAAATGACAACCTTTTTAATTAAAATTTAGATATTATTCTATAAAACTTAAAACCAATTTGGAAAAGTTTGGAGACAGCTCCGCTCTTAAAAAGGTTTTCACCCAAGGCAAATAAACGATCGCCACAATTAGTTAAACAGCTGGAAATGTTAGAAAAATATTAAATAATTTATTAAATTAAAAACCTGTAAAGTCGAATATTCTCTGACGATTCGGGAAAGCAATGTCTTAAAATAAGAAGTACCAATTGTTCGGGTAAATAATCTTGCAAGTGCTGTTGTTGTCCAATGTGTTCAATATTTTCTTTTGGAAGTTGAGGCCGAAGTCGTTTCTGTGCAGTAGGAAGTTGAGAATAAGTAGCCTCAATAAGTTCGAATGAAATGGAGGAAGCAACACGTTTTGCAGCCAAATCCTTGAGTGATGGGATATCTATGAAAATTTAACGTAAAATCAATAACAGATCCTTTCAAAAAAATACTCGAAAACATAAGTTTGTCGAATAAAACTTATTTAGTTTTATTCAAACCTTTCAGAGAGAGAAAAAAAATTAAGAAACAACCTTCCATAAAATCTGCAGCATCGAGTGCCGAACTATCAGCAATAAGGAAAGGTTTAGTTACAAAACCTGAAAAAATATTAAATAGGAAATTCAGTGTAAAGAAAATGGAGGAATATTAAATAAGCTAATAATAAGAGAAATCTGAAAACTAATTAATACATAGTAAAGGTGGGCCCTCATTTTCCTTCCTGAAAGATGTTCATACAAATGGAAAAAAACTTATACGAGCCCGCATAACAAAAGAAAAAAAATAACCTTGGCCCATTTTGGCCAAAGATAAGTCCCATCCTCTCCAGTGATGACTTACTGAACTTGAATCGCTTGCCTGTACAGAATATTGCTCATCATCCTCATCAAACCTTTCAGAGTCCTTTAATAATTTTTTAATTTAAAAAATTAATAAATACTAACCGCAAAAGAAAGACGGTCTTCTTGATCCTCTGCCAACATCATGGCTTCCATTCGCAAAACTAATGTATCCTCTTCTTCCATTACATTTTCATCATCCTTTAAAGACAAAATTTAAAAAATAAATTTAAAAAAAGTTTTGAAGGAATTTTCAATAAGCAATAATTTTATTAAAATTAGCGATACCTAAAATGATAATTTGCTAACAAATAACTTTCATAATAGAGTTTAAATAAAATAAATTACCTGCGGTTGTAGATCATCCATCAAAGACAATAAAATAATTAATTGAAGGACGAAATATAGAAAGAACAATCTCCAATATAAAATATAGTGAAAAATGACCTAATTTAAGAAGCCAAAATCACGAATGTTAATTAAAAATAGTCTAAAATTTGTCAAAATTAAATGCTTTAACTAAAAACAAAATAATTATTGAAAAATTAAGGAGAAAGAAATTCGTAAAAGCACTGGACTCAAAAATACCGCAATGTAACGGCGATTCAGTATCGCCGATTCAGTATAGCCGATTCAGTATCGCCGATTCAGTATCCGCCGATTCAGTATATGGCCATAACTTTCCTGATATTCGACCGATTTGAATAATTCTCATATCATTCGAAAGGTCTCGAGATTCGACATCTTTTTCATAATTGGCCCGATCAGATCTGATGATCACAAAAAAAGTTACAGCGTGAAAACCGATTCTTTATGCCTGTGACGTCGTTTATCAGTGATAACTTTTTGTAGAGTGATCAGATCAGGTCAGTCCAATTATGAAAAAGATGCAGCACCCCGAGGCCTATCAAATCATATATAATAATTCCCACAATATTGATCGAGCAAAAAGTTATGGCCAAAAAAGCCAAATACTGAATCGGCCAATACTGAATCGGCGATACTGAATCGTCCCCTACCCGCAATGTAATAAAATTTAAAGGAACACTGCAGTCTCATATTTTTTTCACAATTTTGCAGAATTGGTCTAATTTTGGCAGTTTTTTTTCGCTCGTTTTCTAGGAACCAATGAATGAGGGAATCTTAGTTTAAATTTTTAAAAATCTGAGCTCTTTCTGGGTGATTTTGTCCTATAATTTCGTTCATTTTTTATTTTTCAGGAACATATTCAGTACAATTAAATTATTAAAATCCTTCACCGATTTACAAATTATTTTTGACCCTATCCCAAAAGAAGGGTGGATTTGTTTTTTTTTCATTACTTGCAAGGAAAGGAAAAATTAAGAAAAATGGAAAGGAAAAATGGAAACGGATGGACTCGGACAGACAAAACACGGACGGTGCGTGTGTGTGTTTTGTCTGTCCGTGTCCATCCGTCTCCTTTTTCCTTTCCTTGCAAGTAATGAAAAAAACGATTCCGCCCTTCTTTTGGCATAGGGCCTTATTTTTCATTTAGAACAATGTCGTCTGCAGACGTCCTCAATAAGGTATTTTTTGAATAATTAAATAATTATTACATAATTCTCAGGCTGAGATAGTTACTTGTAAAATTGAATGGAAATTAAACGATTTACATACATATAGAGAGTATTCGCCAAACGAAAAGTGCTTCTCGAGTTAATTTTTATTTTAAATTTCTAATTTCATAAATATGTAGGTAAGAAGTTTTACCATCCACAATATCGTTCAGCTGCGTGGGAGTTGCGAGTTTATTTATACTACTCTAATAATTATGCTACAATTGTACAAGTGAAGCAAGCGCTGAAAGTAAAATTTGAGTTATATGCTTTGGATGCTAGAGGAGAACGTGTCGATATTTGTCCGTAAGTTGTAGTCGATTTATTCCAAATTGTTAATTTTAGTGAAAGAGTTATGTCACACGATTTTATTCGCTACAAAGAAACTTGGAGACATAAAATTGATATGGAAAGATTGACACATACAGATGGTAATTCATTTCTAAGGACAACCAAAATTTTAATAAACTTTTTAGGCTCTGTGTTGCTTGTTTGTGAAATTCGATTTTTGCCTCAAAATTTGAAACGCAGTCGAAAGTTGAAATGTGCATTTAATGATATTGGCAATTTTTCGTCAACTAATTTTAAAGAATTAATGAGTAACATGTTTGAACAGGAAACACTTACTGATTGTGTTGTTAACGTTAGTAATTTCAAAATAATAAAATTTTAATGATTTCCGACCGCTATAAAAATACTTCCTTATAAATTTGGGTTGGCTTATACATAAAACTGAAAACTTAAAATATTTCTATCCTATATATAATTCTAATAATAAATCACTATTGATGGCTGGCTATATTTTTTCAGATTGAGAATCAGAAAATAAACGCTCATCGTTGTATTTTGGCGCAGAATAGTGAAGTATTCTTAAGAATGTTTGAACAAGATGGGATGCTCGAGGCGCAAAATGTATATTTTTACAATTGATAAATTATTGATTTTATTCTAAAATTTTAATGTAAAACCGAATATTATGCCGGAACGGGGTTTTTAAGGTTTCTTTGTTTTGAAGCTGTCCACAGATGCGGGCAACAAGGGGTTCGCATCTGTGGACGGGTATATAATAAGCATTGTTTTCTCGTCATCTGGGTGATTTCCATGTAGGGTTTTTAGTTTAAAAATGACAAAAAAATTAAGGGTGAAATCAATATTGTTGATTCTTCTTATGAATGCTTTCTTTCAATGATTAAATATTTCTACAGTGGTGATGTTGATAAAGGTATTTTTTTACAATTTTTTAAATTTAACTTTTAATAGTTTCTCTGGAAAAATTTCCCGAAGAATTATTTGCAATTGCTGAAAAATATCAAGTTTTGCCGTTAAAGCAAGTTTGTGAACGATTTATGGCTTCGGGAATTGGTAAATAAATTATTCTCATTTTCAAAAATTTGTTTAACTTTTTGAGAGCTATCTTTTTTGTTATCATTTGCACATTTTATTAAAAATAATTTTTCATTAGATGCTAAGAACTTCGGGAAACGCTTCCTTTATGCTGGAGTACACGGTCTTCCTATGGTTGAAAGGGTAGGTTTATTTTTCCAAAGATTTAATTTTTTTAGTAGATCTCGGCTGTAAAGCTCGAGCTAAATTTTGAGTAGTGAAAATCTTTTTAAAATTAGAGATTCTAGTTTATTTGGATTTTCATATTTTCGGTTTTTTTCAAACTTATTTTAATCCTCTATTTATGTCGAGATTCTTCTGAATTTGAAAATATAAATGAAAATTAATTTACAGGCTTGTGTTGATTTCATTTCTGCTAATCGAAAGAAATTTTTGGCTAGTAATGAGTGGAAGGAATTTGAAGCTGAATATAAAGAAATGGCAGATCACTTGTTAATTTGTGTTGCTTATGATGGAAATATCGCTTAAAATGGTGCCTAATATGGGTCGCAAATAACTACTATTTTAATGCTTAATAATTTATTTTTAATAATGTTCTAATTTTTTTAAATCTCAGCGATTACATGATTACGCTTTCAATATTTGTTAATTGTAATCTTTTAAGATTTTTGCTTTTAATGTTTAACCTATGATTTTTAATAATATTAAAGTAAAAGTTTTTGCAAGTTTGAAATTTCTTGTAATTTTTAGTAAGAATTTTTTGGGTTGAGCTGTTTTTGTGATTTCGTCACATATTTTGGGATTTTTTTTATAAAAATTTGATTTTTTATCAAACATTTTCAATATTTTTTTTGAAAAACCTTAAAATTTTTAATTTTGTGGTACTTTATTAATCCCCGCCCCTGATAGAAAAATAACGAGTCCGAACATATGAAGAATTATAAAATCATATCTTCAGGATAATTTAATTGATCATAAACTTGTCCAAAATCATTCAATTGCAAAATCATTTAAGTTCAAAAGTCAAAACTTTTTACAAAAGAAATGGAGAGAGAAATAAGATCTGTAAGTACATTATGAAGCAGTTGATACTTTATTAGGACGAAATTTTTTTAAGTAATTTCACCAAAATGAGATATCGGGCTCCTTAAGCATTCCTAACACCCTTATTTGCAGAAATGTCAAACAAACTTGATTTTCTTGAATCAAGAGTGTTAATTTAACAAAAGAAATACAATGTTTTGACGTAAACTACTTTAGAATATTTTTTAAAAATTATTTTAAACATTCCTTCTGCTAATTAAATTAATTTTTCGTTCATAAATTATTTTTAATTTATGTCTATTTAATTGCAATTGAAGAATTGGTTTCTAAATAAAAAAAGTATAAGTTTATGTATATTGTTATATACATAAATGTTTTTTTTAATTTTATTCGCCGAATTGATTAATTAATTTTTGCTAACAAAATTTTTCGCACCTTTTTATTTAAAAAATTTTTTTGTTAAATAATTATTTCAATCACTTTTAATAAATTTAAAACAAATTATTTTTTATAAAATTTTATTAAATAAAAACTTAAAATATATTATTATTTTTATAAATAAATAAATGTGTATTTGTTATAAAATTATTCTGGTTTGTTATTTTTGATAATAAATATTAATTAATATTTAAATAAAAAATTATCATTGAAAAAAGAAAATATTAATTTTATTTTTTAAAATAAATTTTGAGAAAAAATTTTATTTATTAAACAGTTGATATTCCTCAATTGTTTTTTATTAAATATTAATGCAACATTTAATCTTTACGGACTAGAAGATTGCGGGAAAAGTCGCGCTTGTTGGCCATATCCTTCTGGATGTAATTCTGTTGAAAATTGTCAAGCAGTTAATTAAAGAATATTTTTTATATTTAATTAAATTAAAGATAATTCGTTGGGTTTTTCAACAAAATAAATTATTAATTGAAATACAGGCATTTTTAAAGAGATAAAATAAATACATATACATATTTTAATTTAATAAAAAGGCAAAACCAATTATTAATGCAAATGAACCTCAATGGATGGCTATGGCATTTAGTGATGATATGTCCGTGTCCGGAAATTTGGGGAGTGGGCATTTGGGGAGTGGACAATTGGGGAGTGGAAATTTGGGGAGTGAGCGGACATTTGGGGAGTGGACAATTGGGGAGTAGACATTTGGGGAGTATGGATTAAAAAAATAATTTAAAAATAGATTTTTTGGACAATAAAAATAATTTATACACTCATCTCGGTCAGTATCGTTTCTCGGTATCGGTCTCGGCTCAAAATGGTGGTATCGGGTTCTTGAGTATCGGTCAATCTCGGTCTCGGGTTGACCGATACCAGTATCGTTTTTTCCAACTCTACCATAGGCATATGAAAAATTCACGTTTTAGCGCCGCAGGTGAAAGTTTTTAGAATTTTAGAAGGCCAATGGACAAAATTTCTTCCTTTTTCTCAAAATTTTCAATTTTTCGATTTTTTCAGTTCTATAACCTAAAATTGACTGACCATTTTTTAATACGTTGAAGAAGGAAAAAGGAGGGGGAATTGAATTTACTCTTTTAAACTCCACAAAAACACCTTCACTAGTGTATAAATTATTTTTATTGTCCAAAAAATCTATTTTTAAATTATTTTTTTAATCCACACTCCCCAAATGTCTACTCCCCAATTGTCCACTCTCCAAATGTCCGCTCACTCCCCAAATTTCCACTCCCCAATTGTCCACTCCCCAAATGCCCACTCCCCAAATCTCCGGGAGCCGATATGTCTATGGTAATTTATTAAGTTATACATAGCTTAAAATAATTAATTGGGAGAAATTTTGTAAAAATTAATTGGGACAACTAATTATATTTTATTACTTTTGAAAATCACAATTGCGTTAAACTTGTAAAAGGTTAAACTTGTACCCATCCCTTTCTCTCTCTGTAGGAGTAATTTTTTTAGAATATTTCAGGTTTTAATTTTTTTAAATTTATTTTTATATCCATTCATTTAATATTTTTGAGGGGAACGACTCCGTTATGGATTGTATATTTATTGGAAATGATAAACCTAAAATGGAAATTTCATATAATTTATTTACACAAAATATACCTCTTCTTGAAGTAAAAATATTTTTAAACTAAAAGAACTTCCCAATTTATCAGGCCTCAAAAACTTTACTTTCCGAGAAAAATTTTTTAAGAAAAAATGGAATATTTGGATGTACATTTATTGTTGATTATAATAAAATAAATAATATTCCAAAAGAAGAAAGAAAAATGGTAAAAAATAATTTTAAATTTAATTAAATAAATTAAAAGATTCTTAAATTAAATGCTTCTAATTGGTGGCATATTTTATATGCTCAAGGTCCAGCCTACGAAAGTGGTAGGGATTTATTAGTGTTTTTTTTTAAATTTTAAACCAAAAAAAGGTGTAAAACAATTCCATACAATATATCAAAAGACAGATCAATTAGTTAAAATTTGTGATGATTGTACTGATAAATATACGGTGATTGAACAATAATTAGTGTTTATTTAATATTTTAATTATTATTGTATTTACTGAAAAGTATTGTTTTTTCATAAATTCTTTGGCTAAAAGTTAACAAAAATTATTTTAAAAATAAAAAATTGTTTATTTCTGTATCCTTTGGAGGAGAATTTGAGGTACAGCCCAAGCGCAAAGCCATTACTTGCTTCAAGATTTCCAAATCTTTCAAAATTTAGTATTAAACGATTCCATTCATCGAGCTAAAGTGAATGGTACCAAAATTGTTAAGGTTCAGAAAATTTTCAGGTAGTGACTTTGCGTCTACTTGGCACGCAACAATTTGGGCGTGTCCCAAGATTTGAAATTCTGTTCTCTACCATTAACAATCCTTTTTTAACGAGTAACTGGCTTTTGTTATATATATTTTTTAAATTAATACATAATATATTTTTATTTATGTATATACACAAATTTTGATTTTTAAATTAAAAAAATACCTATTTTAAAAATAATTCTAAAATAAATCCAAAATTTAATTTAAAAAATATTTTCTTTTTTATTTATTTATTTAACTAGTCAATATATTCAAAATAAACATTTGTTCATTAAAATATTCCCAAGCTTTTTTGCCATTAACTTAATCGAAAGTCACAAGAATATCAGGTTACAATTTTTTTCTATTTTTCTTCGTAGTGGATAAACAAAAGGCACTTATATCTACATAAACGAGCAAAAATAAAAATTAAAAAAAATATTTTTTTATTTTTATTAATTTTTAAAAAATAAAAAAATTTTTTTGTTTTTCAAGCCAAGCCATAAATATTCTCTACAGTTTTTTTTATTTATACAAACAAATAAATTTATTTTTAATAGCCCCCATCATTATTTACCCTCCCAACAATCCAACTTATTTTTTTCCTCATTAAAAATCTAAACAATGCCTGCGTTGCGCTTGTTGAAATCCGACACTTTTCTGCATCTCCCTAAGCTTTGTCTAAATTTTTAGTTTTATTTTAATCAATTCCTTCCTTTCATTTTGTATTTATCCTGAAATTAAAAAATAAATATTTTGCTAGATTTAAAGGGGAATTAAGGTTTTTGTTATTATTTGAGGAAATTAAATCTTTGTTCTACTGTAACTCATAGAAACTTTTTATCCAATAATTAGCAAAAAGAATAAGAAAATGACTGCCTCAACGAAGTTTGAGCCTGAAGGTTAATTTGTAGAAATAAACTAAATAATTAAAAATAAATTAAACAATTAATTATTTAATTAGTTAATCCCTTTAATTTCTCCAAAAGGAAATTTTTTAAATATTAAAGCATTAGACGCATCTTCCTCCTCGTTGTCCATGCCATCGAGGAATCCGTATTGGGCAACAAGTCATGAATGGGATTTGGCAATGGGAAGGTCTGATGGTAAGAATATTTTTATTAAGTAGTTAAACAGAGTTTGAAGTTAGGTAATTTTTTGTGATTAAGCAGTTAACTAAACGGTTAACTTAAAATGTAAACAGCTGAACTTGTTTAGAAATTCACAAGTTTTTTTATAAAGATGGTGGACAGCAGTCTCTGAACAACATCAATTCCCAACAACAACTACAGCAACAACAGCAGAATAGTGCTGCTTATTATGAGCAAATGATCGCAGCTGCTTCGGCTGCAAATGGGAGTGGACAAACTTCGGCTTGGTACCCAACACAAAATTATGTGGGTTATTATGGACTAGGAGGTGTTCAAAGAGTTGGAGCTGCACTTAATGGATATCTGGGATCTCCTTATTCTGGTAACTTCGTTAACTATTTAATAATCACCTACATATACATTAAGGTGTTTATCCGCACCAAGCTGTAGATTATTATAATGCGGCTGCTGCCTCATTTCCTGGCAGTTATTATGCAGCAGCAGCATCATCAGCAAAAGCATTAGCTTCACATTATGGTCAGCAACCTCAACAACATCCACAAAATTACCCTGCCATACTTTCAATGAATAACAGTAATAAATACCCTCCAACGATATTAATGGTAAATGAAAGGAGATAAATTTGAAAATCAACAAAAAATAATTAATGCAGGATCTACAAGCAATCGCTACAGGGAGTGAATTAGACACTTCCCCTCCATTAAATAATGGATCTGCTGCGGTTTCCTCACCTCCTTTGGAAACAAATTCACACAATAATGGTGCTACAAAATCAAGCAAATCAAGAAATAAAGGAGAGAAATGTGGCGGGGCTACTTTAAATATAAGTACATAATTAATATTTTTTATTTAAATTGTGTAAGGACACAAAAAAGGGGATAAAATATTTTATTCAAAATATTAATGCTGGACTTAATGGAGCTGCAATTTTAATTAATTCTTAAGTACATATTAAGAATTATTTGAAGTTTTAATAAAATATTAATTTTGTTCTATACAAGTTAACTCCTTAAGTAACCCCTGTGGGTCCAAAAATTTTTATTCTTTTTGTTTTACATATTCGATAAGGAAGAAATAATTTATCAAAAATATTTTTATTTTCATAGAACGTTCGAAGAAAAAAAAGATTTCAGCAATTAGAAGCCAAAGCCAAGAATTAAACCAAACACGAGTTTTTGTTTGGGAATTGGTAAAAAATAAATTGTTTATTTAATTAATTAAATTAATTATTTGAAGGAAGATGTTTGTTCTATACTTCCCCAAACTCATTATTATAAAGATCAGTTAGAAATTATGTTAAATGAGGCATTATCTAAAGTGTTAGAGCACGTATTTAATTTAGAGAATTTTGATGATTTTGATCAATCAAATATTATGGATGCTGAAATGGATGAAGTAAAGGATATAAAATAATTAATTTTTACATCTCTAAATAGGCACTTCATAATGCTAATCCCTCAAATTCATTTTCTGATGAATTATCTAATAATAATATTCAACTTTCATCTACCAATCCCTCTTCAATTCCAAATTCTTCATCTAATTTAAATAAACAAACGGGAATATCTTCTACAGATGGATATAGAAAATTAGCAGAAAAATGTAGAAATGTAAAGAATGTTTTTGAGAGATATAGAAGGCTATCTTCATTTGCTGGTTAGATTTTTGAGGATTAATTTTTTGGTTAATTAACACAAACAAAAATTGGGAGTTCTGTGTTTCTACTTTGTATTTGCGGATAATTTTTATTTTTTATTTAATTACAGAATTGTTAGAACATTGTGGACTTCCTTCTACTCAATTAATTAATCATTTGGATAATATTGAAGTAATTAATATATTTAATTAATTATTTTGATAATTAATTTTTAGAAATTTCCGGAGGCTAGTATGGCATTATTTAGGGAATGCTTATCTTTTATTCATAAACGGTTAGTTTTTATTAAAGAATTAAATGTTTATAAAGAGGTATTTAGAGGATTAATTTTGAATTAAATTGAAATTATGAATTAATTAAAATTTTAATTATTTAAAAATAAATAAAGGGAAAAATTAAATTAAATATACAAGTAACTTTTTAAATTAAATTCCTTTTTTAAAAGATCTCCATTACTTAAACAACCTTATGTTAATGTAATTCTCTCATCTAATCAAATAGAGGGTGGAATAGCCGGCGCTTTTGGCCGTTTAATGTTGTGTAGATTGGGGGAATATATTGAGGCTGAAAATGGTTTATTTAATTTTGTTTTTAAATAAAAAATATTTTCAAAGTTTTTTGTATTACTCGAAATGGAAGGGAAACTGTTTTTGAAAGATTGATAAATCAATTTCAAAAAAAATTAATTGTTTTTATTTCTAATAATGAACAAACTAAAAAATTTGCAGAAACGGTAAATTTTAAAAGTTTAATTAAGGGAATTGAAAGAAATATTCAAAAACTTGGTGGTCTAAAGTAAAGGTCAACAAAATCATCCTTTTGGGATCTCAAGACGAAATTTTTTCTTAACCGATGCCGGGACGGGATCCCGAGGGATAAATCCCGAAAGATCTCCAAAATAAAAAAAATCCAGGATTTCGGGATCCCGGAAAATCCCGTCGGGATCCCGTCCCGCGCCGACCTAAAGTCTCTTAACGCTATTTAATTATTTTTGTACATATAAGAATTTATTTTAATTTTCCAGCCAAATTTTGTTTTTCCCACTCATTTATTTAATTTAAAATATTAAATTATATTTAGAATGACATTCTTTGCTGGCCCGGAAAATTACATTCAAATAATTCTTTAATTAATTTACGATCAGCTCTAGAATACATTTTATGCGATATATCTCAACCTACAAATGGATTTAAAGAACAACAAAATTCTTTTTTATAATTTTTTCTTAAAAATTAATTTTTTGTAAATAATTTCGAAAAATAAAATAAATTTATTTTTAAAAAATTTTCGTGTCTAAAAAATATTCTTCTTCCTTTTCATTCTTCTAAAATAATTTTTCCTTATTTAAATAATTAATATAAGGATAAACTTCTTCAATATAATTAAATACAAATTCTTCAACTTTATTTTTAACTAATAATTTTATTTTTAAATTAAAATCATTTTCTTCTTCAATTCTTCTTTTTTTCGTTATTCCCTCAAATTTTAATTCCATATTATAACATTTATCAGGAATTTCATTACAATTTTCATTAAATAATTTAATTAAATTATTTATTAAAATATAATCTGCCCATTTTGTATCAAAATAATTATAACAATTAATTAATTTAGATAAATTTAAGAATAATTGGAAATAAAGAAATGTTGAAATTTTGTTTAATATAATATCTGGATTCTTTACATATACACTATTTATTACTAAAAAAGATAATATGAAAATAATTAATTCATTTTATTTGACTTCGATGGCAACATTTTCTAACCCTACTCTAATATTTTTAATTTTTCGTTTCGGTTTCAGAGTTTGATAAAGAGTTTAGCCACAGGGCAGGATTAAACCCGCGACAACGCTGCCAGTGAACGCCCGGCTTTGTTGACACAAATGCAGGTGCTCTACCACTGAGCTATCGGGGCATGACTAATGCTTTATCTTTTATCCTTTAGATCGTTTAACCACCGCCTAAGGGTTTTAAATGCTCTAGGTGAATCATCCTTACATTTAAAAATTTTTCTATAACTGACAACACTGCGTTATCTATTTTTTCATTATTATTAGGGTGATGACATTTTGTTGAAATTTTCTAACCCAAATTTATCTGGCTGTTTAAGGATTTTTCAAGCCATATTTGGTTACCCCTATTTAATAACTTTATTTTCACAAATAATCTGGGACAAATATTTTTTATTAAAAAATTTAGATTTAATATTTACTAATTCACTTTCCTCCTATAAATCCATAAATATGACTGAACCAATACAATCAAACATATACCAGTCCGATCATAATGGAATAGAAGTCATTTTCAATTTCATAAAAACCAAAAATCTTAATCAAAATTATAAAGATTATATAAACTGTAACTATAATATCATAAACAACTATCTAAATTCAATAAACTGGAATTTATGTTTTGCAAATTGCATAGACATAAATCACCTGTATTCCACCTTCCAAAAAATAATTTCTGAAACTATAGAAAATTTGATACCAACAAAATCTAGAAACAGTAAAAATTTATTACCAAAACACATACAATCATTAATTGAATACCGTCGTAAACTATTTAAGGATAAAAGTTTACACTCAACAGAAAAATTTAAAATTGCATCATTAAAAATAGATAAAGAAATACAGAAATACTTTAGAAATCGTGAAAATAAACGATTAAAAAATATTCGAACTAAATATACTCATATTACAAACCTTTTAAAGACAAAAAATACACAAATTCCAATACTCTTGGACAATAATAAACTTCCTCTAATATCAGCTAAATCTAAAGCTAATCTCTTTTCAAACTATTTTTCACAAATTCTCTCTCCATCCAATCAAAAATCTCTAATCCACAAACCTTCTCTCACTCCAAAATCTTCTTCAAATAAAAATAACCTCATTAACACACACACAAACAAACCATATTTAAACTTTATACAATCATTTCAAGAAGATATATTCTTTATATTAAAATCGTTAACAAATAAATCAAATATATCGACAGATATGATTCCTGAGATATTTTTAAAAAATTGCTCACAATCACTTGCTTACCCTATCTACTACATATTTAACTATATTACAATGAGCGCAAACTTACCCGATATCTGGAAACAGTCCATAATTATACCCATTCCGAAAAATAAAAATTCATCCTGTCCTTCAGACTACCGGCCAATATCTCTATTATGTCCAATCTCAAAAGTCTTCGAAAGATTATTATACAATCAATTAATTAATTTTATAGAAAAATATGAAATTATCCCTAACGTCCAACATGGATTTCGAAAAGGGAAATCAGTAACCACACAACTTTTAGAAACATTCAACGACTTTTCGATTGCTTTGGAAAATAAACAATTTATTGATGTCATATATTTTGATTTTAGTAAAGCCTTCGACACAGTTCCACATGATAAACTTATAAATAAATTACACAAAATTGGAATAAGGGGATCTTTTTTACAATTGCTAAAAAATTACCTCACTAATAGAAAATTTACTGTGATGATCCAAGATTATAAAACTGATTTAATGGATATAAATAGAGGCGTCCCACAGGGGTCAATACTAGGGCCATTATTTTTCCTTATATACATATCAGATCTACCCAGTTTCTGTGAAACAAAGGACGTAAAGATAAAATTGTTTGCAGACGATCTTAAAGCATACTCATTCTCTAAAAACACTAAAGACTTTGAAATTAACCTACAAGAGTTTATCAAAAAACTAGAAAAATATGCTGAGGAAAATTCACTCAAACTTTCAGCCGAAAAAACATCTCTTTTACACATAGGGCCTAAAAACCCTTTGCACACATACACACTCAATAATCAAAAGATAAAAACAGTCTCAAATCAAGATTCTATAAGAGACCTTGGCGTTTATTTTTCACACGATTTAAAATGGGAAAAGCACATCAAAATTATAACTAACAAAGCAAATCAAACAGCATTTACAATAATAAGAAATCTAAAAACTAATGATCCTAAAATATTACTCGAACTATATAAAATATACGTATTACCCATAATAGAATTTGCATCGCCCGTTTTCAATCCATATCTTAAAAAGGATATCGAACACCTTGAACAAATACAAAAAACTTATTTACGTATTATATACAATAGGTCAAATCCACGCACACCAATTCCAGAATATCAAGACCTTCTACAAATTTTTAAGGTAGACTCGCTACAAATTAGAAGACTCAAAACTGACTTTAAATTTTTCCACAAAATTTTACATGGTGAAGTAAAAATCGATCAAAAAGAAACATTTAAAATTACAAAAACTAATACAAGGGGAGACGAATATAAATTTTTTATTCCGGCAAGATCAAATCAAATCAGCCATAATTCCTTTTTTGTTAGGACAGCGCGGCTATACTCTCAGTTACCAATATCAATACGTAAATCAAATTCCAAAATATTCAAAACACTTCTTGATCAAATAGATCTCAACACATATTTATCACGCCCCACACCCGTAACATAATACAATCACATATATTTGTTGTACCAATTATTGACATATATTTGTTTTAGTTTAATTTTCAACTTGACTTAATTTATTTTTTCAATCCATATATGTATTTTCAAATTTGTAATGTCGCCCAAGAGGCAAATAAATAAATAAATAAATTTTATTAATTAATTCTAAACGATTAAGTTTTTTATTTTTAGATTTTTTAATTTTTTTATAATCATTTATAGCTTGTTTAAAATCATTATTGTTATTTTCATAATATTTAAATATCTTTTCTTGTAAATTTGGACACATATGTTTCCATTCTTTTTTCTCATCAGGGAATAAATAATTTTGAATTTTATTAATTTCAATCACTTTATTTTTACTTCTAATTAATTTAAATAATTAAAATATTCGAAACTTTTAAAATATTTTTTTAAATTCTCTTTAAAATATTCTCTAAATTTTATTATATTCATGTTACGGATAGAATGGGGAGGTGGAAATAAAATTATCATTCATATCACACCCCCATCTTCTCATTAATCCAAACCAGATGACTGAATCTACATATTCTCTAACCCTAATTTCCTAAACCATAATTTTTTCCTCAACCTCAAATTTAAATTTTTTTTCTGTTAAAAAATATTTTTTCAATAATTAATTATTTACGTTCCACTTCTTTTATTTTTTGAATTTTTTTGTTCAATTTCTTCGAATTTTCTTTTATTACAATTAACACTTGTTGAACATTCTTCGACATTCTTTTCATTACACAAAATATTATCCGAAACTGGTGCTTAATTTAAATTTAAATTATTATAAATATTTAATTAGAGTGCAAAGTAATTGATCCAAAAAAAATTAAAAATTTATTTCAAATTTTAAAAGTGCCCTTATTACCTCCAATTTATTTCCTCAATCTTTTTGTTTATTAATAGTTTTAATTTGCCTTTAATGAAAATTTCTTCAAAATTACCTAGCATTTTATCGTGGAGATGCAAAAGATTTTCATGGACAGTGAAAGATTTTTACGGGGAGACGGAAAAATTAGAATATCAAAAAAATTTTAGCATCAAAGGCGAAATTTTCGAGATTTTCAAGTATCAGAAATTCAATTTAATTTGCTAGAAATTCAATTTTTTAGCGCTGCAAATATTAAATTCCAGTAATTTAAACATGTCTATACATATTTAAAAATTTGGGTCACTCAGGTCCAAATTATCTAAATGTCCTTCTCAAAATTTTTACAAAAGGATAAAAATTTTTGCACTCTCATTAAATATTTACATTCATCTGTTTCTTCCGAATATTCCGACCCAATTATTGTAGGAAAAGATATATTTACAATTAACAATAATAAAATAAATATTATTGGCAACATTTAAATATCCTACTTTAATTATAAAAAATATTTTTTTAATTAAAAAATATTAAAATTCTTTAATTAAAATTCTCAAAATAAACAAGACATTAAAACACACTTTATTAACATTAAAGGAAATCAATGTACTTGACTGTGTCATAAGAATAGTATTGCACTTTAAAATCGCTATTTATGTCTTTTAAAATTTTTTAGTAAAGTTAATTTGCAATAATTTGATTGAGAAATTTTAAGCAAAATGAAATTTTAAAGGTTTTATTTTTGAGAAATAAGAAAAACAATAAAGGAAAATGTAGGTATACCCATTTCAACAATTAAAAAAAATACATACATAAAAACTAGAATATTTGGTAAACGTTAAGAAAAATAGATGAGCATTCAAATTAAAGTTTTTATGCCATCTCGTAGAGGATGTTAGTATTTCCAAAAATGATTTTTATTAAATTTTTATAAATTTTACTGAAACAAACAAATAACAAAATAAAAATTAAAACAAAAAATAAATAAAATTAATAATGAGAAGTAATTCTAATTAACTCAGTGAGATCATCAATTATTTGATATTTACTTGTTCCCAACTTTTTAGCTAAATCTGTTTTTTCTTGAGAGCTTAAATGCATATATTGCATTACTAGCAAACCATCGATAATATTTTTTGCTGCACTTATTTGTTGATTAGTTCCAGTCTTTTGTGGACGTCCAGCACGTGAACCACGAGGATTTAACTATAAAATATTATTTGAAATAATCTTCAAAATTACAGAATATTTAAAATTATACCCCTGCTGGTTGAGGTACATACATATTCATCATCTTTAAAATTTATTTTTAATGATTACTTTTAAAAAAAGTTTTTAATTACCTGTTGTAACATGTGTAGTCTTCTAAAAACTTTTTCGATGATAGGCTTAATAAAACCAAAAGAGCCGTCTAATGTAGCAAAATAGCAAGTTTGTATTCCACGTTGTTGTTCTGAATCAATGAAACATTCAGAAGTATGCCCTAAAAATTTTTTAAATTGCTTTAATTACATTAAAAGACACAAAAAAATCAACTTACCTTTAACTCGCACAAAAGTATTAATTAATGATCCAATATTTAATATTGCTCTAATAATTAACCGTTCACCACCAATTGATTCTTTCATTTCAGGCAAATAATTAAATAAAGTTATGTTAGCTAATTCATCTGTAAGAATAAATCCAAGTTGTTTATGATCTATGATAAATTGAGAAGTCATTGGAGTTGGGGCTGTTGGGCGTAAATCTCGTGAAACTAATGAAAGTGCTTTAAATTCTTCCTTAAAAAATAATTTAATCATTTTATGATCTCTAAAAATACCTGGTATCGAATTAATGAAAGAGAACGATATAAATCACAAGCTAATGCAAAATCACGAAAAGCAACCATATGATGAACGTAGAAATGTAAATCAAGAAAGGAAACACCATGTAATTGATTATCACGAAATTGCCAAATAAAAATCTAAAATTAACTTTGAAATATGCAAAATAGAAAGAGAAAGTTCAGGACCTTTTGACCCATTCCAGTAAGTAAAAATCCATTAATTGCACATAAACTAGTTACGGGCCCTTTTTGTTCCTTGTCATAAATTGTTTTAAGTTTGTGACGTGTTGTAGGCATTCCTTCCTCCGGCACTACTTCAATTAACTCAAAAAGGACTACTCGACCACGAACATACACCTCCTCTCCATAATTGATAGCTGTTCCCAATGCCAGATAATTTTTTACACCAGAAACTGTGCTTTCCGAGGTTAGCAATACTTCTTCACAGGCAGTTGCAACTTCAAACTCCTCCAATTGAAATTCAAAGTTTGGCACAAATTTCCAATCTTCCGTTGAAAAGAGCTAAATATTAATTAATTTTAGAAGATATTCTCGAGAATAAAAATATTACCAACCCTAAGTTTGTATGAATCAATGCTTGGCAAAATAAAATTTTCGTCACGATCATGTGTCTCAACTTGCTTTTCCTCGTTCACAATTGTACAAACAGTTTTGTTTGGCTTTTTTTCACTCGTTACTAACATGATGAGGTCTCCTTGAAGCATAAAAACTACATGGCTAATAGTTTGACCAATTGGAATTTTACGATGTGGATATGAGCAATCATAGTCAATATCTGACTTAAATAAAGTTTAATTAAAATAAATATATGAGTCTAATTTTAGAGATTTACAACTAGTATAACACAACCAGAAAAACCTATTGGAAATGAAATTATTTAAAAATAAAATTAACGTTCAAAGTTGCAACACGCATCATATGTTCTGGTTTCTTTGTTAGATATAAGAAGCCATTTTTGCAATTAGCATTATTGAATGATGAAAAAGCTGTTATTTGTCCATCGATGGTCATTGGATGGAGTTGAACTCCATTACGATTTATTAGTAGAATTGAAGGATATGCACCAGCAATGAAAATTCCATTAGACTAAAATAAATTTCTGTATTTTAAAATAAATTAAATAAACAAACCAAATTACTCAGCGGACCAAAAGGAAAAATTCGCTGTCTATGTCTGTCCTCAACTTCATGTGCCTCAACTTGCGCTCTGCCATTAGGGCCAAGAAAACGTTTTTCTCGTATAACTACAGTGCAGGGGAGACGTTTGAACCTGATGGCAAGATGACCTTAAAGAACAAATGAAATTCCTGCATCAACTCAAGAATATAAACTCCGTTCGGGAAATAATGTAAAGTTAAACGTAAAAATTTTTCCTTAAAATTATTATAATTACCATTAATATTATCATCATGAGGAAACAATTCATAGAAGACAACCATATCATCGAACAGAGCGGACAGAACTGGCCGGCCACAATTAATTCCAAGCCCACAAATTTGCAGTTCAAATATTTTCTTAAAAGCATTATTTAAAAGAAAACTCATTTTAAAACCTCTTCAGGTTTAACAATTGTATCAGAGGAAAGGCTTTCAGCAGGTTGTGGCACAATGACTGGTGTGTTCATAAATGATTGTTGAGAAGGCCTATGCTCATCGTCAATTGCAGATTGTACATCATCGTAGAGAACATCATGAGATTGACAAAACTTTCTGACCTTAAAAAATAAATAAAAAAATTAAGAAAAAGTTTTATCTTTACCATATAAACTAATTGTAAATTAGGTAAATTGTAAATGTAAAGATTGCCATTTTCACGAGTAAAAAACAACCAAAAAGTTGGTAAAATTTTAGATGGGCGTTCAACAAATTCATCAGTATTGGCATTAATTGATATTTCGTTTGAAATTGTAAGCCAGCTAATTTTTTGTTGCTGCTTTTGAGTTTCTACTTTTTGTTTTTGCGGTTCATTTTGAGGTTGAGCTAACGAAAAGAAGTTTTAATAATTAATTTTAATTGGTTTAAAAATTTACTTTTATTCCGTTCCTTTTCTGTAACTCCATAAAGAAATGCATCAATATCATCTTCTTCGTTAAGTTGTTCTTTTGTTGCCAAATCTTCATCCATCTCATTTTTGATTAAAGAAGAATCTAAGGAATTAGATTTTGGAAATAAAAGTTTTTCATTTGCAGACGACGATTCTTCCTGTTCAATAATCTTTTTATTGTCTGAATATTGAATTAAACCACTGCAATCCTTGTAAAGTGAAATTGCTGTGATAGGCGATTTTTCGTGCTTAAGCACATTTAGAATTGGTATCTGAAAAATTAAAATTTAAAATACAAAAAGAATCTATAATAAAAAAACCTGTTTAAGATGGATATTTGGCTTTGAAAATAATTGATAAAGGAAAAAACGTCCATTTAGTGTAAGAAGAGCCAAATAGGGATCAATAAGCGAAGCAGAAATTACTGGAAAACTTGAGTCAATTGAAATGCAGTCGATTTGTTGATCATTTGCGACGAGAATAATGCTAATAATATGTTTGGAATAAATTGAGCAAAAAATTACCTTGTAGGTGTTATCTAAAAAATAATAAATTATGCTCATAATTATGTCAATAAGTTCGATTCAAGACTCTAGGAGGTGGAAACCGGTTGAAAGATTTGGCGAACAAAACCAGTCAAATTTAAATAAATGTTTTAATAAAGCTACAGACCTGTACAGCAACATTCCCTTCTGCCAAATCCCCAGCCATCAATGTTGACTCATTAGTGCAAAAGAGAGGGGTATCCAATTCGATCATATCATTGTGTAATTCTAAGGCAACAGTACTTCGTTCACGAGAAATTAGCAAATATTTGTGCATATCGTCGTAATGACGCCCTATAGTCCAAATTTGTTGAGCTTCATCCAAACTGCAAACAATAACATTAAAAAAAGTTAAATCTAGTAAAATGTTGGTGAAGATATAGAACAACTATCCCAAAAAGTGAGGAAAAAAATAATATTTTTTGAAAAAAATGTTTTAGGAATCAAAGTTCTTTACCCTTAAACTAAAAGTTAAAATAATATTATATAAACATAAAGGAGTTTTAATAAATAATTACGCCGAACAATGTGCTTGTTATAATTTGTGGTCGGACAGAGCGATGATAAAGGCAAAGTGAAGAATCCTTCCCGTGACCAGAAGCTGTCATCTATTTAATAAGAGTAATATGAATAAAAAACTTTAAAAAATAGTTTTAGATTTCAAATCTTATTGTTAGAAAGAATATAACTAATAGAAAAGTGCAAAGATAAACAAACCATGTCGAAGTAAACATCTCTAGCATTTTTTCGAAAAGCATCGCTTATGTAAGTAGCATTGCAAACTCTCAACCATTTACAAGGTCCAATGTTTGGAAGAATATCAAGCAATTCAAATTTATATGTTCGTACAACTTGTCTGAGGGTCTGAAAATATTTATTAAAAAATATCAGCAAAAAATTAAAAAAACCTCTTCAATTAAAAAACTTTTACAAAAATCATCGCCATAAAGAAAAATATCATCTTCATTGAATAAAATTCGCGAATGATTTACCAAATCCTGATTATTTGAATAATCAATTGAGCCTCGTATTTTGTCTAGTGAATAACGAAGTAATTGTGAATCTCCAAGTCTGGAACCAACAAAAAGAAAATTTGTTGAGAAACTTGTAAGAACACAAGGAATTGATGTTTCTAAAATTAAATGGACAATTTTAAATTAAAGTAAATATGAAATTATAAATACAATAATAGCAATATTTAAGTCCTATTGTTAGATTTCTGATTGATATTCTAATTGAAAATTCCCCCAGAAAAAAACGAAAACACAAAATATAAACTATTGTATTTTTAAACAAACTTACCAAAAGTTTTTGTCAAATGCATATTTCTAACAACATTTGCTTGGTCAGTTTCAAGAGATAAAATATATAAATCTCCATTAAACAAAACAACAAAAACATCATTTGGAGAATTTGATACTCTTTCTACAGCACAGCCTTCCAAAACTAACTTTAAATTTTGTTGTTGATTACTCAATGGAAATCTAATAAATTCTTCAGAACAAGAATTTAAAGAAATTCCTCTTGGTGGTACAGATTGATTTAAATAAACAATTTCGTTGGCACCAAATAAACAAATTCCACCAATCGGAGGGTTAATAGGTAAACAACGATTTATGTTCATTGGAAGGCCTAAAATTAAAATAAAATAATTAAATTTAAAAAAAACCAGAAAAATTCCAAACAACGGTATGTATTTTGTCTTTTAAATTGAGAAAAACAGCCAGAATAGAGACAGTGTCGAATCGAACTGCTGCTCTAAAAATATAAATAAATTTATTATTTCAAAATTTAACCTTCCAGCTGTTGTTTGGATTGGCTCATAAAGAAAAAGAATTGTTGGCTCAAAATATCCATGAAGAAAGCACATATCATGAATATTCTCTAGACGTTCGTCGAGTGACCTTGAAAGGAAAAATTGGAAAGAAAGCAAAAAATAGTTTTGAGAAAATTTTCTAACAAATTTTTCAGGCTCTTAAATAATTTTAAAAGATTCTCAGATTCTCCTAAATCATGACATCGATCTCGACGGAGTATTTATTATAAATAAAAAAACCTCAATTTAATTGTGTAACTTTGCAATAAAATCTGACGTCCATCTTTACTTGAAAGACATTCATTTTCTTTATTAACCCTGTTAATTCGTTTAATTGGGACAACAGCCAAATGTCTTCCATAAACAGTAAAAACACAACAACGACTCTCTGGATCAGCGCAAAGGACAGGATGATGAATATCTTTGGCATAACCTTCACGTAATAATTCATCTTCTATTGAATGCAAAGAAAGAGTGTTAAGTGTCAATGTGGAAGGGTTAATGTTGACAATTGAAAGCTTGGCATCATCAAATGTTAAAGCTAATGCGTCAAAGTCAGGAAAATCTAGGAGAATATAATTAAATTGAAATGTTTTAATTTTAAGAATAAAAGAGAATTTCTTTCGGTGAGTATTTTAATATTTCAAACCAATATTAATTAGTTAAATTCACATATTTTTTATAAAAAATTTGTTGAACATTTAAATTAGGTAAAATAAATATGTAGCTTGGTAAAATTCAAGTTCGTTCCCCCTACTTTTTCTTTCTCAAATTATTTAAAAATGATCAGTCAGTCTTATAGTTAGGTTATATACTGAGTGACCATTTTTTAATAATTTGAAGAAAGAAAAAAAAGGAGGGGGGACAAACTTGAATTTTACTAATAGCTTTAATTTAAATTAGCAAAATGTTTTTAAGAGAAAATATTTCACCGGACAAAAAATTTTAAATTTTATTTTTTTATGAAAATTTAAAAAATCCAAACCTTCTAGCCTTATTACAGCCATTCCACGGATTGGTGCCATCATTGTAAATGAAAGTAAACATTCCAATTGAGGAGAATTAATTGAATTACCACAATTATTCAATCGAAAAAAACGTAAAGTTTTTGCGCCAGCAGTTACTAACAAATCTGCATTTGGTAAAAATTTCCCCCAAAAACAAAAATTCACGGAAGTAGCATCATCAGTTTCGTGCAAAATAGAGTACATCTAAAAATTGAAATAACGTGAAAATTTTTAAAAATTAAAAAAATTTTAACAAAAAACTCCCTATAAAAATCTCGCAACAAAACGGCCCTTTTATTTAAGCGCGCGTAAAATTACTGTTTGAATTTATAAAACGGAAAAAGCAAAAGGAACAATTTTCTGGATTTTTGGTTGATGTTTTTCTTGAAAAACTTTTAAATTTTTAATTTTTCAGACAAAATTTTTCTAATTTTAAATGGATTTGCCATTCGATGAATTATTTAAAAAAGTTCAGAATTCAATTCAACAAAATAATAACAAAACTACCGATGTTGATTTAATTACAAAGGAAACTGGATTACCTAAACAATTTGTTAATTATGTTGTCGAATCTGTTATTCTTCATTATAATGATATTGAACTCTTAAAACATATGGTTATTTTAATTTTAATTGCTAGTAGAGTTGGACAAGACCGGTTAATTTTTCCCTGTGGCGGGTCAAGTAGAGAAGAATAAGAGCTTTTGAGGCGCCCCAGGGAAAAATTAACCGGTCGTGTCTAATTACTAAATAATGTTCTAAATTTTCAGGTTATTTTTGTTGCTGAAAAATGTAAAAAGGAAGGGATCGATATAAATTCAACAATTACTGCAACATTTTTAAAAAAAATTGAGCCAATTTGCAGAACACTTAAAGAAGATTCTGCATTCTTTCCTGATTATAAAGACGACAATAGAGATACTTCTTTAGATTTTCCATTGCTAACTCGTTTTGCAATTGTGGCAACTTATTGTGCTAGTTATAATCCGGCAGTGACTGATCAACGTTTCTTTTTTAAGGTTGGGCTTTAATTGAAATCTAGAAAAAATCATTTTTAAGACTTGATATTGAAAAATAATCAAGATGACATTTGATCCCAGCTATATTTTTTTTAATTTTTAGGCTGATATTTCATCCAAACGCCGAAAAGGTTCAGGGAAGAATTCAAAAGAAAAGTTTCACGAGAAAGGCTCGCGTGCATTCGAACATCAACGAGCTCTCTTCATTTTTCTCTTTTTTTGTAAAAATTTTGACGAAGCTTTTGAGGATTTTGGCGCTGATTTTCGAATCGATTTTACTTCACAGGTAGTCTTATTTAATTTTTTTCCTTAATTTATTTCGAAATTTTCAACTTATATGTAGTTAGGGTTCGATAAAATAAATAGATTTTTTTCGAATTATCTTTTTCCAAATTTTCACAAAGTTTTAAATTTATCTGAATGAGAAAATAATTAAAATATACTTTCTTTTCAGATAACTCATTTGGTCGATGTTGGTTTACTCAGAATTGTCAGTGCAGCAGAAAATTTGGATTTGCCTCAATATCTTTCATTATGTGGATTGGATTTTGCAAAAAGGATAGCTCGTTCAATTTCTGAGGAATTTAAACTAGAAAATTATTTGTGGGATTTTGTTAGTGATTTTTAAAAGTAAAGTTTTGTTCAGTTTAGTGTTTTTATTAAAAAATTTTTACTTTCCTTTGATCTTTGTTTATATTTCTTTTTTATTAAAAATGTTTCTATTATGGCCCCACCTCATAAACATTTGGTAAATGATAAGCAATGTTAATAACGTGAGAAATTTGAAGACAATCGAATGTTTATTAGTAAAATATAATTAGTCTTTAATTTAAATTTTATTTTCTCCTTTTCACTTGCTTGTTTTTATAAGCTTTTCAAGTTAAGATTTTAGAATAAAAAAATTTAAAAGGTTGATTCAAAATAGTAGTATCGATGATTGTTTTTGTAATTTAGGTAATTTTAGTAAAACAATTCAATTTCTTCGAATAAAAAAATGGATATTTTTATTGAGAATTATAACTACGAAAATAGCAAACAATGGCTAATGGATTATGAAAGTTTATTGTTAAAATGTGTTTTTGTTTATATTGTAACAATATTTTCTTTGAAATTTGTTATGGCAAATCGAAAGCCTTTTGATCTTCAGATGCCACTAATTATTTGGTTTTTTCTTATCTTTCCTTTAAAAACAAATTGAAAATCTTCTTGCTTGATCATTTCTCAAAATTCACAATTTACACCATAAGATTATTTCGGAACAAAATTTTTATTCTTTTCATTAAATTAATGTCGATTTTTACTCAAACATTGCAGGAATGGTCTTTTGGCAGTATTTTCTATTGCCGGATTTGTAAGGATTACCCCAACGTTTATCAGTACAATCATGAACAAAGGAATTACACGTAAAAATAACAAAAATTGTTAAAATCAGGGCTCTCATTCGTTACTTATCTTGATCTAAAAATTTTAATCTTAATTATACATTGAAAAATTTTTTAAGCAATGTAGTACTTCCAAGACTAAACTTTTTGTACTTACACCTAACATCTCTCCGATGAGAGCCCTGGTCAAAATATCCTTTCTAGATACATATACTGAGATTGGTGAACTTCAAAAAGATCCAATCGCCGGCTACTGGGCCTTTGCTTGGTGTGTCTCTAAAATCCCAGAACTTATTGACACACTTTTTGTTGTGTTGCGAAAAAGGCCACTTATGTTTATGCATTGGTTAAAATTTAAAAATAAATGAAAAATTATTTTTAAAACATAGGTATCATCACGCGCTGACGGGCTATTTTGCTTTTGTTACCTTTTATGAAGAAAATGCTTATATGGTTTGGGTTGTTTGGCTTAACTACTTTATTCATTCATTTAGTAATTAAAAATTCTTAAAATTTCTCATCTGTTTTATCAGTGTACTCTTATTATTGTGCTCGAGCAATACGCTTTCGTGTACCACCACAACTTGCTCAACTACTTACTTTTGCACAAATTTGCCAAGTAATTTAAAAGGAATTTTGTTTACAATTTAACTCTTATAAATTGTTCCAAACATTTAAACTCAATTTTAGTTTATGATAACGCATGCTGTCATGGGACATTTGCTTTGGCTTTGTTATTCTAATACAAATAAAGTTTATGCTGTTACTAAACGTGGATTTTCCATTGGGGTAATTTTCAAAATAAAAGTATCTAAATGCACTATTTCTAGGCCTTCATGGAAGTCACTTATATTCTACTTTGGTTCCGTTTCTACTATATTAGTTATATAGCAAATGGTGGAAAGAAATACACTCAACACCGGATTGCAACTCAAAACGGGAAAATACAGCAAAAGATTGAATAATCCTTAGATAATTTTAAATAACTTAATCAACATTAAAGCACTAATGTTTTTAAATTGTTTTAAAGGACATGTCAGAACCTCGGAATTTTCATTTTGATAAAATAGAGGATTTCCAGTATTAAACGAAAAGTGGCTAAAGATTTATTGACTAATTCCGTATTTTACTATGCTAGCAATAGTTTAATTTATCGGCTGAATTAGTGTCTTTCCATCCGCTAAGATTTTAGTTTTTTGAAATAATCTGTTTAGAGAAAAAACAGGGAGGGAGGGGAACAATTGGGGGCAAACAGGAATGATTGTAAAAAAGTGGGAAATAGTGAATCTCCCTGTATTTATTACCACAAAAATGTCTTTATTGCACAGAGGGCGTATTTTAAATTTCTTGAATTTTGGTTTAAAACTTTTGATTATTGGACAAAAACGAGACATTAAACCAAATGGGTTAAAAACTTTAAAAATAATTCTAAAAAATTCATAAAAATAACTTAAATTTAATCTTCATCTTCCTCAATAACGATCTTACGTTTTTGTTGTGTTTTCTGCTGCTTTTTCTGCCTTTGTTCCTATAAATTATAAAAATGATTTTCATAATTTTTTTTATTTTTCTCACAGTATCAGATGTGTCCATTTCCTCCACACCTTCTTCAGCTTCCTCCTCTTCTTCACTGTCAATTTTTGCCTCATTTATAGTTTTCCTTTGCCTTTCCTCTTGTTCCTCATCTGATTCAGAGAAAGAGCGCTCACGTTGATATCTATCCATTCCATATGGGGCATGTTGATATCTTCTCTTAATTGCAGCTAGCGAATCGACTGCTTCATCTTAAAACAAAAATATTTTTAACTCTCATCTACTCTTCAAGATTTAGAAATTTGCTTGAGAAAGAAATTTTTAAAATAAATTCTAAGAAAAATAACCGAAAAGGAACCTGAAGAAAAAATAAATTTCGTAACATTTTTAGTTTTCCCCCGTTCCTTGATCTTATTAATTTTAAAATTTAATTTTGGTGACCAACTATCTCACAATTATGAAACATTTTCGGGCGTACCTCAAGGAAGTGTCTTAGGACCACTTTTATTCCTTATTTTTTTTTTTTTTTTTTTTTTTTATAAATGATCTTCCTAATGAAATCCCTGAAGATGTTGGAGTAAAACTATACGCAGACGATGTAAAACTATATATAGCTCATAAAAACGGCATAGAAAGAGAACAACTCAATAATGTTTTAAGAATACTTGAAAAATGGACAGAATTAAATGGTTTAGAAATATCCCCTAGCAAATGCTTTGCTTTATATCTAGGTAAAAATAACATGAAAAGAGAATATACCATACATGGATTAAAAGTACAAGAAACAGAATGTATTCGTGATCTTGGAATATTAATTGATTCAAAAATATCATTTAACAATCATATAAATATGATCATAAAAAACGCATATTTAAAAAGCTCCCAAATAATAAGAATCATTAAATCTAGAAATTTAAATCTCCTCGTTAATATATATAAGACATATATAAGACCCCAACTAGAATACGCAACTGAAGTATGGAATCCACAGATGAAATATCAAATAGAGAAAATTGAAAAAATCCAAAAACTATTCACTAAAAATATTTACAAAAAATGTGGTTTAATCAAGGTCCCATATGAAGAAAGATTAAATACTTGTAAACTCGAAAAGTTATTAGATAGAAGAAAGGTTGCCGATCTGTCCACCGCCTTTAAAATTATAAAAGGTTTTACATCCCTTAATTCACAAAAATATTTTAATTTATCAAATAGATCCCTTCGCAGGCCTCTACTTCTTAGGACAAAAAAATATACAAATAAAACAAAAAATAATTTCTTTCACAGAGTGGTGAATAACTGGAATAATCTTCCAAATGAGCCATTTAAAATAAATGATCCGAAAAAATTTAGAAGTCTCATTAAACAGTATTCTATAAAATACTAAGGACATTAAACCCTAGCGTGCGTGGTTTTCGAGTGTTTGTTTACTATTTATATATATTTTTTTTTCATGTTTTTTTTTTGTTGTTGCTTTACATGTTGCTTCACATATTTTTTGCTTTGTATATATTTTTTTACGCACCACTTTAATGTATTTTAAAATACCTGTGGTTTGCTGATAAATAAATAAATAAATACCAGAATCATAACCCTCAAGGAATCCAGATGTGAGTCCAACAGTCATTGGTCGCTCACGAACTAAAAATAATTTAAAAAAATATTATAAATTATTAAATAATTAACCTTTTCGTTGCTGTGCTTCACGGCGAGCTGCGGCTCGTAACTTTTCTTCCTCCAAGCGAATCATTTCCTTAATTACAGATTTACAAGAATTCTAGGTATAATTTCGGAAAACGAACAGATCCGAAATAGGTCGAATTATATGTCATTCGAAAGAGCTCGTCGAGTTATGTCGAATAGTGAAAAAATTTTTGTGCGGACTCATAGAGGGGCTGAGATATAGGTCCGCGAAAATCGAAAAACCATAGGGGGGACCAAGCACTTTTTTGGGGTGAAAAATTCGAAAATGCAAATTATACCTCATTCGAAAGAGCTCATCGAGCTGAGTCGAATGACACCAAAATCAACGAAATCTGACTTGATTTGATAAAGTTATGATCGTTTGTTTTAGCTCCTTACCTATGGTCTATGTGGAGGTACTTCTTGCTACGGAGGAAGCCAGATAACCCATTACAGCGATAATTGGAATAGGATTAAGTTACGAGCCCAGAACCCATCGCCCGTAGACTCCCCGCGAGGCGCGTGCCGCAAAACCCCGCGCGAAGCGCGGGGTTTTGCACAAGCGCCTCGCCTACGCCCCATAGGTTTACGTTGACCATTTTGAGCCTCTATCTCGGCTCAGAATTAAGATCTCGAGTTGATTTTGGTGTCATTCGACTCAGCTCGACGAGCTCATTCGAACGAGCTATTATTTGCATTTTCGAAATTTTCACCCAAAAAAGTGCTTGGTCCCCCCTATGGTTTTTCGATTTTCGCGGACCTATATCTCAGCCCCTCTATGAGTCCGCACGAAAATTTTTTCACCATTCGACTCAGCTCGACGAGCTCTTTCGAATGACATATAATTCGACCTATTTCGGATCTGTTCGTTTTCCGAAATTTTTCCGAATTCTATTATTTTAAAACCTTTCGTTGAGCATTTGGATTATCCCCAACATTTGCAAGCATGCGAACTTTTTGAGCTTTGCTTGTTTTTTCAGCCATGTTCATTGTCATTTTCCGATGAGTTAAAGTTTCTGTTGAGTGTGGGCGGAATACAAGTTTTTCGCCGAAAACGGCTTGTGCTTGCAGAGCTGCTCCTTGACGAATATAGAGATGATTAAAGTCCATAATTTTTTGTTTATCCACCTCGAAGATTTCGTTACCCAAATATAAGGACATGCTGAAAATATAATTATTTGAGAACAAATTAAAAAATTTTAATAGGAACATGAGTTCCTTTTTGTTGATAACGATAGAGGAATAGCCAGGGGATTCATTTCAGGGGGGATAAAATGGGGATTTTGAAAAAGGAAAAATGGAAATCCGCAGAAGCCAAAAATGCGGAAGTATAAGAAAATCCATAATTCACATATTAAAAATGAGCTGATCTCTATGGCCTTACCTTCCATCAGACCAACGAACAATTTTTGCATTGCTCTCACGCTTCTCATTGCCTTGCTCATCTCGGACCGTTCTCCAACGGATTGTATTTTCCAGCTAAAAATAAGTTAATGGAAGAATTTTAAGTACAAATATGACAAAAAGAAGAAACCTAAGATAAAATGATAAATCAGTCTCTTTGCTTTAAAATGTACAATTTTGCAAAGAACCTTGACTATATTGTAATTGGGCAACAAAAATTTCGGTGCTAAAAATCAATGCCTAAAAAATTATACCTTAAGTTTCAAACGAGTTCGCCCATCATCGTCAAGTGTTTCGTCTTCTTCAATTTCGTCATCATAAGTTTCAGGATCAAATGGTTTTGTTTCAATACTTAAGAAATTCGGCAGTTTAACAAAATAAGGCCCTTCCTCGCCTAAATCAACTTTACAACGGGCCATGTTCAAATCAATTTTTGTCGGGCCAGTATCAACCTCTTCTTCTTGTTCTTCATCTAAAATATAATTATTAAAATAAAATTTTACAAAAAAAGACCGTCAGAAACATCCATCCGTGCAATTACTTGATGAGTCTCATCTTCATCCTGATGTGAATGGACATCTTCTTGAGTATTTTCCTCCTCGTGATGTTCAACTTCATCTTCTTCCATTTCTTCATCATTATGTTCTGCTGTAGCATGCACACCGCTAACTTCGTCATCATCTTTAGTCGTAAATATTCCATCCTCATCGTCCTCTTCTTCAGCACCTCTATTTACAGGGATGTCATCTTCAGCATCAAGCTGTTAAAATAAAAATGGATATAGTTTAGCGGAGAACCCACTTAGAAATGGGTTGAATTATATACTCCCTAGGCCTAGGTGCAGAAATGCCTGTGGACCGGGATATATGTACCTAAAAACGAAAAAGTATAGGGGGAGTAAAGCTCGTAGAGGTGAGTCGGATGAATAAAAAAATAAATTAAATGAAATAAATTAATAAAAAAATTAATTGAAATAAATTAAATATACAAAGTTACAAATAATTTTTTAAAACTAACCTGATGTTCGTGATTAATTTCGCGGTAATTCCAAGGCTGGTCCCCCCCCCCCCTTTTTTTCTGTTCGCCTGACCATTTTGAGATTTTTTGCTTTAAATATAATTTACAATATATCATTCGAAAGAGCTGTTCGAGCTGAGTAGAATGATACTATGATCGGATAGATTTGTCGATTTTGAACCAAATTATGAAGATAAATCCTTGATGGACACGCTTTTTGTGATGTTGAAAGGGATTAAAACAAATGCTCATAACTATGTTTGTTTAAGTCGGATTTCGATGAATTTAGTACTGTTCGACTCAGCTTGAATAGCTCTTTCGAACGATATATAATTTGCTATAAAAAGTTTAAAAAATCGAAAAAATAGAAAGGAAAAAAAGGGGGGGGGGACCAGCCTTGGAATTACCAATTTCGCTAGTCTCATCATCTTCTCCATCTTCTTGATATTGTTGTTGATCAGATTGAGGATGAGTTGGGTTCTCATTTAAATTTTGCTCGTCATGTTCTTCATCTGATGAGGATGTTGAAGACATTGACGAAGAATCATCTGAATGTTGTTGTTGGTTTGATTGAGAAACAGCCGGCGCCTCCTCATGAGCATCTTCATCACTTACGATACTGCTGTCAGACATAACAAACAACTTAAATTAAAAAAAATTAATTAAAAAAAAAATTAAAAGTAACGGATTGAGTTAAATTGTGCTAAATGTCCTGCGCCTAAGTGGCTCGCGATTAAATGGATGCTGCGACAATTGCGAATGCGACAATTGCGAACTACAAATTGCTCGTTTTATTGTTCGTTTTATTGTTCATTGTTGTTCATTGTTCTTTTTACGTATTTCTTTTTTATTTTTTTGTTTCTAATTTTTAGATTGACACGTGTTAGACTTGTTAGGCGTGTGTGTTAGACTCTAAAAATTTTACATTATACATGTCTTATCAAGGATCAAGCCTTAATTATTTTGTGGTATTTCTTTTGGTACTAAATGGTAAATTAGAATTTTTTATTATAATTTTCTAAAAATTAAGCTTGTAATTTTATTCTTCCAATTGACTGGAATAGCGACATTGTTCCAAATCAGGCAGAATTAAACGCTCAAAATAACGATGCATTAAGCAAATACTTTGGGACTGACATCAATAATTTAGAGATTTTTAGAAGTTATGAAATTATGCAGAAGCTTGTTGGCGAGTTTAAAGATGTGCCGTTAGAAAAGTGAGTGAAATTTTAAACAATTTTTGTATTCGTGAGTAAGTCTATCCCAACAACATTTTTTAAATATTTTTCGTTGATCTTCCCATTTTTTATTGAAATTGAAATTTATTAGTCTTTAAATTATCGAACTTTTTTTATGATTTTTTTCATTTTTTCCAGGCAGAAGAACCACAATTACAAAGAAATGACTTCTTGGTTAAAAGATTTGGCTGATCGTTTCCCTCATATTACTTATTTATATTCAATTGGCCAAAGCATAGATAAGCGTCAACTTTGGGTACTTGTTGTTGCAAGAAATCCGAGGGAGCATGAGATATTAAGGCCAGAATTTAAATATGTTGCAAATATGCATGGAAATGAGGTTTTTATTTTTTGTCAAGGCATTTTATTTAATTAAATAGAGCTTAAATAATTTTCTTTTTTTAAATAATTCATTATGATAGGTTACTGGTCGAGAAGCACTTCTGTATTTGGCTTACATACTTTGTGAAAATTATGGCAGTAATGAATATTTAACGCGTATGGTCAATGAAACGCGCATCCATCTAATGGTTGTTTTACTATTTTAAATTTAATTTATTTTTTAAGCCTTCAATGAATCCTGATGGTTATGAAATGGATAAACCTGGTGATCGTATCGGTTATTTGGTTTGTTAAATAATTTTATGTTTGGTTACTCTTTTTTCTAAGGGCCGTTCAAATGCGGATAATGTTGACCTAAATCGAAATTTTCCTGCTCGTTATCCGATGCATAAAGAAGCGTCCGGTGGGATGACAACTCAACCAGAGACAAAAGCTGTTATGCAATGGATGACCGAATATCCATTTGTTCTTTCTGCGAATCTTCATGGTGGCTCTCTCGTCGCTAATTACCCTTATGATGATTCGGATACAGGCGCAGATGGCATATATACAGCCTCAGCAGACGATAAACTTTTTGTACAATTAGCCTTTCAATATGCACGTGCTCATACAAATATGTGGTTATCTGGACGTCGTTGTGGACTAAATGATAATGGTGATACTTTCCTTCATGGAATTACCAATGGCGCTGGTTGGTAGGTTCAATTATCTTCTATTCAAATTTTATTTAATAAACATTGTTCAGTCCTCATAATTTTTGTTTAGGTACCATCTTTCTGGTGGGATGCAGGACTGGCAGTATGTGCACACAAATGCTCTTGAAATTACTGTTGAAATGGGTTGTTTCAAATTTCCATACGTTTGTTTCAATTTAATTTATCAAAATTCTATTTCTGTTTTTAATTTAAGGACGATATGATTCCAACTTTGTGGAAACAGCATCGGTTCTCTTTGCTCTCATTTATGGAATCTGTCCATAGTGGTGTGAAAGGGGTTGTTCATGATGCCAGTGGTGAAAAGCCAGTTTCTGGAGCCGAGGTAACAATTATGAAAGGAGGAAAAGGAAAAGCTGTGACAACATCACTTAATGGTGAATATTGGCGTCTTTTACCACCTGGAGAATATAGCGTAATTACTTTTCTTAAAATATTTTTTGATGTCTAAATTTTTAGCTACAAATTTCACATAAAAATTTCAAACCTTATCAATTTGACATAACTATTGATTCTGGACCGGCAAAGGTTGTTAGTATCAGTATGAAAGGGATGGAATGTGATGGGGAAGGTTTATTTACTCTAATTTTATAAAATAATTTTTAATTATTAATTTTAGATATTCCAAAATTACAACTTTTTGTTCGTGGTAAGGGTCCTCTTAATTTATTACTTGTTGGTTTTGACTCTGCTGCAAAAGGATTACTTACGCGTTTGGTCAATCATTCTTGTCCTATGGATGAAAAGAAACGATCAAAATTGGTTTTTCTTTTTTATTTATTTTTTGATTTTAGCTATATGTATTAAAGGCTTACATGCTTCTTGAAAATGTTCGTCTTCATATTGTTACAGAATATAGCCAAACTGATCAACTCTTGCAATATATGTGGAATATAAATGCTGATTCCCTTCTTATTTTTAGTGCCGGCCCTGCTCATTCAACAATATTTAATGCAGGAGAGAATACACCAAGACTGTTTAATCAAGATAAATTCGATCAAAGCTTGAAGGAGTAAGAGTTTATTGTAACAAAAATCCTTTTCAAATTTTTAGAGTATTTTCTTCACAAGAACAGTTCTCTGATATGGATTCAAAAACAACCAATTCATTTAGTCCAATAAATTCACGAAAGAAGGTTCTTCGACCGAATTGTGAAGATCGTTTAGGTCAAACCAAAACGGCGTCAATTATTGATGAAATGAGACTTGGGCGAATTTTTGAATTGGGTATTGGAATTGGATGTGATTTTGAGAACTTTTCCTCAAAAGAAGATATTATGACTACTGGAAAAATGGATGCAGCATTGGATGCTATTATAGAGGTTTGATTTATTTTCCGATTTTTCCTTTATTTAAATTGCAGGTGATGCTGAATATTTCGAAACAAGACAAGGTACTTGAATTTTCTGTTGTTCCTTCCATTGCCCCAACTGATCATTTCACTCCTGCTGAAGTTCAGACGGTACAATTTTATTATACATTAAATTCTTTTTCGCTTAAAGGTAACACATTATGGCTACGATCGTCTTGATCAATCATCATCTTGCTCCGCCAAACTAATCGAAATGGATGGTGTGAAGCTTCGATCTTTGGGTTCACACAATGGGCCACATACACTAATTTTATCTGTAGAAATGGTTTGTTTAATTTATTAAATGAATGCTTTATGGAGTAGTTATTTACCTGACTTTAAATTCATTTTAGAAGACAGAAGCGTTAGTTTATCATCTTGGGGCTAGACTTTGTGGACAAGGACCTGTTGAAGGATTAACAACTACACCTACCATTATAGACGAGGAGATGAGACAAGTACAGCGTATTTTGGAGTATTCAACCATTGTTTTGGCACCAGATATCCCACAGTCAGTATTCTAAATTATTTTTCGCTTAACCTTCTAATATATTTTACTGATAGTACACAATTGAATTGCCACGACTACTTGACCATTTCTCCGTTTATTTCATTGATTACGCAAATTATCAACTTGGTACCTGAAATTGATTTTGTTATCGTGTTAGGAACGGGTGGAATTAAAGTAAGACAATTTTTTATGTTTATTTACTTTATTTACTTTTCTCTTTTTAGATTCGATTTATTGACGTGCGCAGGCAAGGAACTGACATCGGAATGACAAATAATGGCACGCTTATTATGTCACAACCTCCTTCAGCTGAACTTGACGAGAATGACCAAATTAAATTGCCTGATCTACCAAAAGGGAATTGGACATCTACGCCACAGGCACTTGCACAGCTCTACATTGAAGGACACGAACAGATGCGACAGGTGTTTATTTATGCTTAAGTATTAAAAATTAATTTGAGATTATCCATAGAAGCTTTTTTATTACTTCACATTTTCTGTTTTTTCTTCAATTTATTTATAGAATAAAAGGGATATGTGTGCAACTAACCGTCCATCCACTCCAGTGCTCGATGAATTCCATTGGGCAACAGGGCGGGACAAATGGACATCAGCACCAGATGCTTTGCTTGTTCAAGTTGGTTGTTGCTACGAAGGCCAAGGAATAGTTAGTTTTTCTTTTAATGTTTTTACCTTTTTTAAATTATTTTAGAGCCATCTTTTCGAAGAGAATCGTCGTTCTCTTTTTTCAATATTAGAACGACGTTTGCAAGGTGTTTCAGGTGTTATTAGGGTAAGTACTTTTTGTTAATCACTGTCATTTAAATTTATCGTTATTATATTCAGGAGATGAGTGGCGATCGTCTTTCTGGTGTGAATGTTTCTGTCTGGCCGATTCAAAATGATCACAACGTAATTTTGGAAACTACAAAGACAACAAAAACAACAAAGAATGGACATTATAATTTGGCTTTGGAGCCAGGAACATATCGAGCAGTGATTATGGCTGTTGGTTATGATCCAATGAGTAGTACTTTTACAGTGAGTTTATTTTTAAATTAAATTCTTTTAATTTGCATAAAAATCATCTCATTTTTCATTTCTAGGTTTCAATTGGACAATCGACGGTTAAACATTATGCTTTACACCGACCATTTACAATGAGCTTTGAACGTAGTATAGTTGCCGCATTAATTGCATTAACAATGCTTTCAATATCATTTGTATGTTTATTTTTTAAAAAATATTACAAAATTTTAATTTTGAAGTGTTGTTTATGTCGATCCATGAGGCGCTCGAAAACAAAAAAATCTTTGGCAGCTACGCAGGTTAAAGTGAATGAAAGGAGAAAAGATGGATTTGAACGTGTGCCTCTTCGGGTATTTATTTTGTAAATTTATTTTTTGTTATAATATTTATTAGCAGGATTACCATTCCGACAATGACTCTGACGATTCTGATGAGGAGGAAGTTCTGGATACGCGAAGAATGGCTATGCCTGTTTGACATTGTAATTTTTAGTCTTTCTTGGAATGATAGGGATTTTTTAGTTTAATTTTTGAGAATATTTGAATTAACTTAAATTCCAAAATAAATTTTTTTAAATCTCTTCATTCCGAGATTATGTACATTATTGACTTTTATGTGCTCTCTAATCACTATTATTCATTTTATTTTTAATTTGGTGGCCGGTTTATGAATTATTAAATATTTTCGATACTACCTTTATGCTACACTTCCTATTTAATGAAGCATGATTAAAAGTATGCAAAGAATAATTTATTCCAAACGTCTCGACATGATGTGTCGTTTGAAGTTCGTTTTAGAAAAATCTAATGAGTTTGCATCCAGTTAGGACCGGTCAAAATGATTAGACTTAAGAACCATATGATACACTTACTATAATGATTGTGACGCATTATTTGACTAAAATATGGTAAAGTGATATATCCAACAGAATTAATCATCTTAATTCGGTCAACGACAGAATTTGTATTGTTACCACCCAATGTCGTAAATAATAGGGGGTGTGGCATAAAGAATAAGTAAATTTTTCAAAAATTCAGAAAAGCTAAAAGATTTTTTGTTACTTTTTAATTTTTTTGGCTCCGGTGCTGCAATATCAAATTGACTATTTTTTAATTCTCTTTATTTATACAAAATAATATTCAGATTTTGTTATTGTTTAAATTACTCCATATTTTTATATAGAATATAATCCTCATTAGATTAATTTTTATTAATTTTCTTGGCTCTAATGATTTTTTAAAGTTATTTCGGGTGATTATTTTATTTCAGTTTTTCATTAAATTTTCTCACAATTTTTAAACAAACTGTCATCTTTGATTCGGATATATAATTAACTTTTTCAGACAATTTAACTTATGAGATGAGACATTTCAAAGATGATAATGTTATTTTACATATCTCATACTACGAAATTTTCTCGTTTTGATTTAAAAAGAATGGGGGAAGGGACATACTTTTATACATGTTTAATTTTCATTATATACTTTTTTAAATTGACATTTCGATATAGCAAGATAAAGATTTGAGAAGAATTTTTTTTCTTTTATCAAAAAACAAAAAATTTTGTTCACCAATAAAAAATCGAATTTACATGGTCGTATACTTTAGCGGAAGGTCTACTTTTAAGTTGAATTTGCTTGCCTTTTGGGCTTTTTTTATTTAATCTTGTTAATAATAATTAAGTACTATATTCAAATTTGAGTAAAATATTGCAAACTCGTTCTCCAAAATTAATTTGTTTTTGTTAAGAATTTGTCTAATTGAGCTTTTGGCCTTGTTTTTCTTTCAATGCTTTATTTTTCATATAGATATAAGGGTAAAATTGGCCCATAATGTTGTTAGTTTCTCCGCTATCTTAAATATAAATGAAATTGAACCTTTAAAGCTGTCGAGTGTTGGGCGCGCAGCTGACCAATATCCTACAAATAAAGAAAATAATTTGGCAAAAATATTTTTGTTTACATTCTTAGACTTTGCCCAAAGATCTTTGGTCAATGTATTATTTTGAATTTTCGATTTTTAAATTTACAAACATATGTACATATTTACAGTTTCTTTATAATTCTTTAAAATCCTAGCTTGAATATTTTTTATACTAATTTTCAATCAGACTCATTTAAATCAGATAATTATACTTAATATTTTCTAATCCCCTTTAAATGCAAAGAGTGTCAAATTGATGAATTAAAAGAATTTAAGTACTTCAGAAAAAATATTTCTTTTTTTAAACAAATCCTTTTAAAAATTTATTTGTAATACTCCTCTCATTTATTTCATTTTTAGAGGCCTAATCTTTTGTCTTTATTTTTCCATTCTTTGTCCACTTGTTAACCTCTTTTAAAATTTTTTTCTATAAATTTTATAGTAATATTCATTTATCAAATCCTCTTATTTTTTCTATTATTTGACAATGGATTTTAAAAAAGCTTTTTCACACTTGTTTTTAAATTTTAAATGCTCTTTGGCTTTTGCTTCATTTGATTTATTACCCCATTTTTTCGGACTTTAAACTTTATATTAATTTAAAATTTGAGTAAATCTTAAAAATAAATGGACATACTTGCATTTTTTAATTTTAAATACTGTATATATCGAATAATTACCCCGGGTAATTATTATTTCAATCTCTGGCTGGAGGAGGTAATTATTTGAGAGAAGGTAATTATTCGAGCATATACGGCACTCTTTTAGTCCTTGTTGATACTTTAACTGATAATGAGAATTATAAGCTACTATTTCCGTAATTACTTTATTCTTTCTCTCTCTTAATTCCTTAATTTAATAAACTGTTGAATGATCACATTTATTTTTTTAGTTTTTTATTTAATAAATAATGTAAAATACTTCCTTTTAATCTTTATTTTCCTTCACTTCTTCCTTTAAAATTTAAAGACATCTTCTTCCCTTCAAAAGAAGATGGCACTGAATTCTTAATTTCCTCTTTTTTTATTTCCTCCCTTTGTTTAGCTTTCTTCAGCTATTGTTTTTGGAAAATTGAAAACTTTATTTGACCGGTCAAACAATTGTTTTTATCTTTTTGCACGCAATTTTCTATGCATTTTACATGCCTGAATTAAATTTAGTATTTGGATTTTTTCGGTCAAGAAGTTTTATTTTTTTGTGTAAATGTTTTTAATTTTTAGTTTTTTCCTTTACAATAAAATACCCTCCTTCCTCCCTTTTTTGGCATTTCCATTCTTCTACCTACATAACAATTTACATACAAAAATACATTTTATTTTTCTTCTAAAATTATAACGCCATCAAAAGGAATATATTGATCGTTAGTAGAAGGGAAGAAGCCGCGCAGAAAAGTTGAGTGAGGTGAATGAAGGATGGAGGAAAGGTACTGGCATATATTTTTGTGTAGAAGAGGAAAGATGTTACTATTCCTCAACAATCATCTATTCCCGCAACCTTATAAACAAAGTTTTGTTGTATATGTTCCTTGATTTTTCACGTAAAATTTCAAAAAGATTAATGAATAAACAAACGGAACTTTGTTTATCTCTAAAAATATTTCGGTAATAGTTTGGAAGTCACCTCCCCCTTTTTCCCGTTTCCCTGACCATTTTGAGCTTTTTTTTGTTTGATATATAATTTATTATATATCATTCTAAGAAGCTCTTCGAGTTTGGTCGAATGATACCAAAATTGGCTAGACTGGTATTTATCTGAATCTTAAAGAGTTTTGATGGGATTTTTCTAAATATTTTTTGATTTCCAAATTCTTACTCAAAATCGACAATAAATACAAATAAATCTCATGTTTTTAATCCAATTTATTTAATTTTTAAATTTTTAAATTATTATCTCAGCATGTTCATGTCTTTCCCCCCATCATTGACCACAACAACTTGCCCTAGTTTTAGGCGGCCCACCTATTTTCCTCTAATATTTCTTTCCTTTCATGCGTTAAATAACAAAATACTTACTCTCCTACACACACAACCATCACCTTTTGACCACTAATAAATTTTTACTCAACACAATTCGACAAAGTTTTTATATTAATTTTTATTTAGTTATTTCCGTTCTAAATGATTTATGTACATAAAATCATTTAAAAAATTTTTTTGATTTTATTTTTTATATTTTAGTAGTAAATTAGTAAAAAGCAATTAAAAATTATTTTTCGTAAAAAACCCCAAAAAATATTTTTATTTATTTATTTTCAATGTCTAGGACAGACTGTTGATGATGACTGGGCATTATTATACTATTTTTTGGGGACATTTATTTTTTTTATTTTTTTTGACTGACCGAACAACCCCTCCCCCCCCGATTAATATCAAACTTTACTTTATAGATTTGTTTTTCTATTTTTATTTCTCAACCATTTCTTTATTTTTAGCTTCATCACATTTTTATTTTTTTTATTAGTTTTGCTATTTAAAAGAAAGATTTGAATTTTTATTTTTTTAATTTAAATTCCTACTAGGATAATTTAGTAAATATTTTAAATAATTTTTAAAAATTATTTTTTTTTAATTTTTAATTTTGTAAGGATCAACGTAAAACAGGGGTAAGCAACTTCACAAAAATTTTCGACCACTTATGGATTGTTTTGGATTTTCATTTTGGGCTCATTCGAAAGCCCTTTAAATTTGCTATAAACGTGTTAAATCCCATTTTCCAGAAAAAATATTTCGATTAGTTGTAGAGGCGAACGTTAGTTGCATAGGCTAAATTTCGTAGTTACTTTTGCCCCTATTTTTATGTCCACTACTGTATTTAATTTAATTAAATATTTATTGTAAAATTACAAGTATTTATTGTTTGGCTAGAAAAATAAATAAAAAGTTTTTATCAGCTTTTTTTATTTAAAAAACAATTTTCTATAAATATTTTTTATTGGGACAGTGATTCACAACAAAAAATATTTCTTTTTATTTTCTTTTATTTTAATCCACTTTCTCTTCTTTTTTAAATTCTTCCCCCTTTTATTTTAATGATTTATCACTTGTCCATTTGAAAAGTCTTTTTTAAAGTGTCAGTTGAATTAATAAAAGGATAGAGTTTAAATGTAGGTAAGTTTATTTTAAATACAGTCGTGGAAAAAAGTATGGAAGCGCTAGAAAATTTTTTCTTAATTCTTAATTTTTCATTCAAAAAATACGTTCTATATACCAATCGAAAGCTCTATTCGTATCTCAGTTGCATGTTTCTGCATTTTTCATGAAAATGAAAATTGGCCGAGATAATCCGGATCTACCGGATATACCAAATCCCACTTTTTCGGAAAAATTTTTCGGAAAAAATTTAACAAACCCATTTGATAAAGCATATTTTTCTGAGTATTTTCCACAAAACCGCTTAGAAATATCTTTTTCCGGAGCAGAGATATGAATTTTTGAAAATGGCATTTTTCGTCTATTTTTGCAAAAAATTCAATTTTTAAGCGAAAAATGCCATTTTCAAAAAATCATATCTCTGCTCCGGAAAAAGATATTTCTAAGCGGTTTTGTGGAAAATACTCAGAAAAATATGCTTTATCATTTGGGTTTGTTAAATTTGTTCCGAAAAATTTTTCCGAAAAAATGGGATTTGGTATATCCGGTAGATCCGGATTATCTCGGCCAATTTTTATTTTCATGAAAAATGCAGAAACATGTCAATTGAGATACGAATAGAGCTTTCGATTGGTATATAGAACGTATTTTTTGAATGAAAAATTAAGAATTAAGAAAAAATTTTCTAGCGCTTCCATACTTTTTTCCACGACTGTATATTTAAGTATTAAAAAAGAAAATAAAATTGATTTATAGCTAAACAATCTCTCTGATTTTAGTTAGTTCTCTGATTTTAAATGTTTCGATTTATTACATAATTAAATATTCCGATTGACCCTCTCCCCTTTTTTTTCATTTTTCTGACTAATTTAAATATCCTTGGAAAGAAATCTTCGATCTGGGTCGAATGACACCAGGATTGGTTAGATTTGCTCATTTTTAATAAAATTGGGAAACTAAATTCTCGATGGGGAATCTTTTTGTGCCGCTATAAGGGGTTAAAACTAATGGGCATAATTCTATTAATTTAAGTTGGATCTCGTTGATTTTGATGCCATCCGACTCAGCTCGAAGAGCTCTTTCAAATAATTTATAAAATTCGAATAATTGAAAAAATAGAAAAGGGAAAAGGAGGGAAGGAGGGGAAGGTCAGATTTATTAGGTAAAATAATATTATTTTAAAAATAGTTTAAGAATAATTTAATTCCTTTCTAAAATTTATTCACCAATAATTTTATTCACCAATACATAACACTTTCCTAATTTTTTTTTCCATTTTATTTTCTTCCTTTTACTCATTTAAAAACGAGATTAACGTTTATTAAATATTCAGGATTCTTAAAACAAATAAATATTTAATGGGGAAATAATGACCAATTTAAAGTTTACTTAATTAAATATTTTTACTTTAAAAATAAATAATAATTATTTTAATTAAAAATTAATTAACTTTAATTTTATTTACCCTAAAATGCCTAAAATGAAAATAAATTTTTTAAAAATTTTTTCAATATTTTCAACTTTTTCCTTTAATCCATTATTTATATCCATATATATTTATTTTCTCAACCCAATTAATATTTTTCTAAATAAAATATTATTTATCTATATTCAAAGACAACGGAAGTAGCCAATGTCCGTGCCAGGGGAAAAGCCGCTCTCTTACTCTCTCAAATAATAAACAACAGACTAACTACTAACTAAATAAGCTTTTTGACTAGGTTTTATTTAAATATTAATAAAAAATGTATTTTAATATTCGGTGTTAATAAATGTCCATTTATTCTTTTCTTTAAATAATCAAAATTTTTAAAATTTCTAATAACGATCAAAAAATCTTCAATTAATTATTCTACCTAAATATTTTCAATAAATATTTATAGTACTACTACAAATCTATCTATATATTTTAGTACATTTTTCTCATAACTAAATATTTAATGGCTCATCGGAAATAAACAAAATAAAACGTTCCCTGCTGACACAGAATTTGTAAAAATATAAATAATAATTTTCCTTTTAAATATTTTTATGAAAAAAAGAGAGAGAATATTTTTTTGGCTAAAAATTGTCTGAATATAAATTTAGATAATTATTATAAATTAATAATTATGCTGTATTGATAAATGCCTTATATGTTAATTACAAAAATTTTTTTAATTAAAAAAATATTTTATTTAATTTTTTTTGTTTTACTATTTCTTTTTTTAGATTTAATAATTTCTTTTAATTTATATTTATTTTTTTAAACCCCTTTAAATCTTAAATAAATTATTAAACTTTAATTTTATTAGCAAATTTTTTGGTTATTCAACCAAAAAATATTTTTTTATAATTTTTTTTCTCTTATGGTATTCTTTTTTCTTTCTTGCGCAATATTGCAAATAAATAATTTTTGTTTGTATTACTATTTTTTATTTAATTTGTAGAAAGATTCTAATAAAAATATTTTTATTAAAATTTATTAATCTTTTTAAAACAAACTTTTTTGGTGTTAATTTAAATAAATTACACAAAAAAGAGAAAAATATCCATCATTTATCCACAAACATTTTTTAAAAATATTAAATAAATATAATCTCCAGAACCGTTATTTATTTATTTAAGCAAAACAGACATAAATAAATCCAAATAAAAATTTTATTTTTTATTTTTTCACTAAATCCTCCAAATCTTTTCCCTTTTATTTTTATTAAATTGAAATTATAAAAAAATATTTTTATTTAAAAATATTTATTTTTAGATTTTTAAAGAAAAAAATGTATTTTTCTTTTAAATATTCTTCTAGACTATTTCAATTAATATTATTACTTCAGTATTTTCAATTTGCTTTAATGTTTTTTGTTGAACGGGAAAAGTTTATGCCGAAAGGTAAAAAATAAATAAAATATACCGTAAATATTCTGATATAATCCCCCATCTATTAGAAGCCCATCCAAAAATTATACGCGAGATTTTAATAGAATTTTTGGTAAATGTCCAGTTGGCGGTCTACATGTCCGCAAAGAGAATCTGCTCTTTTCTTTCCTTTTCTTGCATTTTTTGCGTTGGGAGAAGTGCTCCGCTCATTTTTCCTTTTCTGCCATTTTTCCTTCACAATACAGTATGTTCTCCTGTTCATACTTGCAAAATAAAAATACCTCTAATTAGAAACAAAATTTATTTTACAAATGATAATTTTGGATAACATTCTCAAATAGATTTATTAAAATATAGGGTTGATAATAAAAACTATGAGGGGGAGGATGGCTATAAAAACTGGGCTTTACTCAATATTGATATCCTGGTTACACGAAAATCAACGTAGAACAGGTTATGCCTCCTTAAATATTATTTTGAAATTTTTAAGATTATTATTTTGGGCTTATTATGTAGAAAGCCATAGAAAGCTGCTATATGATAGCAATAATCCTACAGTTCAGAATTTATCATTGTAATTTTTATAATCCAAGATCTATCATTTGTTAAATAAATAATTTTTTTTTTGAATTAGAGATATTTTTTCGATAAGGAAAAGTAAGACATACTGTATTGGGAAGGAAAAATGGTAGAAAAGGAAAAATGAGCGGAGCACTTCTCCCAACGCAAAAAATGCAAGAAAAGGAAAGAAAAGAGCAGATTCTCTTTGCGGACATGTAGACCGCCAACTGGACATTTACCGAATTTTTAAAATTAATGCAAAACATTATTTTTATGTTCTTATTAAGCAGCGAATAAAAATATAGTGTCCAGAAAAATCATTTTTCGGAGTTTTTCAAACCTCTTACAAATAATAATGTAAATTTTTGTGATAAATGATTTCTTATCATCTTTTAAATTTAAATAATTGGGAATTAACTAATATGGCGGCCTATCTCTATTCTGTATTCTGATTGAGAATTTATTACGATCGCTGATAAGAAGGTTGAAAAATATAAGCCTAATATAAGCCTATCCGAGTAGACCCATTGAAAAATATAAGCCTACGACTTAATCAGAGTAGTTATGGTATATTTTTAATATTTAAAAGTAAAATTTATTTATGTATCTAATTTAAATTATTCTACAAATATATGGATGTATTTTTTGATTTAATAATTAAAAGATTTCTTTTTACAATTAAAAAATATCAATTTTAATCAACTAAATTATTTTAGTTGAATGGGAATGTTCTGATAAATCAATTCAAATACTTGTAAAAACAATTAAACCTTTTTACGGAATTATTAGACCTAAAGGGGCAATTAAACAACAAAATTCCTCGCCTTGTATCCTTCAAGGAAGTGGGGGGTTATTTACTAAAATGGAAATTCCTTTACTTGAAGGTGGATGGAAGGAATGTGGACTAAATTTAGAAAAGGTATTTATTTAATTTTTAAAAAATTTATGTCCATACTTCCAAAAATTTAATCAAAATATTTTTTTTTAATTAAAAAAGGATTCTTCAACACTTTGGACACAAATAGAAATACACGAGCATGTATTGCTACATTTACATGATGATCGTTTAGTAAATATTAGCTGTGCGGGTTGGGCTGAAACTTTAAATAAACAAAAGAAGAATGGAGGAGAGGGAGAAAATAGGTATGGAAATTAATTACCTTAAATCCTGTATTAATTGCCCTCCCTCAAATAATTACCCACTTCTATTACTTACACCATCCAACGATTGAAACAATAATTACCCCATCAAATGCCCTAAAACACATTCAAATTTCAAACCCTCCCTCGATTAATTACACCCTCTAGCGGAAGGTTGAAACAATAATTACCCAGTGTAGTTAATAAAAGTTTACGGTATTTCAAAATTAATTTAAATTACCTGCCTATTTTTTAGTGAATTTCAATTAGTCTTTCATAATTTAATTAATTACAACAATATCAACAACAACAATAATTATTTAGAATTTGGGAAACCTTATAAATTAATGCTTTTTGGAACAACTAAAAATAAAAATTGGTGGATGATACATTCTTGTAGTGTTTCTTCTGTTGATAATTCTGTTAGAATTGAGGTATTTTGAAAGTTGAATTTTTTGTTTTTAATTTAAAAAAATTATTTTATATTTTTTTGATTTTTAAATTAATGGGGAAAATAATGTAAAAACAAATGACAGATTTTTTAAATTCTGATTAGCTTCAATAAAACACTAATTTAAATAATCAAAAATACATCAACTAATTTTCTTCAATAATTCTTATATTTTAAATATTTTATTCTTATTCTTTACCTTTTTTAATTTTATTTCCTATAATTATCTAGCCTTTTGTTCTCTTATTTTGTCTTTTTTTAATCCTAATTATTTTTATATAATTTTACTTATAATAGTAACTTTTGTACTTTTTTTATACAAAAAAAGTACAAAGAATTAATTACTCTCATAACAACCTTTCTTTTATTTTGACGGTAATCAACTTCCCCCAAACCTCCTTTACCCACCTCCATTCCAAACAAAACCAGCATGCTAATAATTATTTAATAAATTTTTTATTTATATATCTTTTCTAATTTTGCAATGATTTTTTGTTAATGAATTCTCGATTTGCGAGAAATTGTTTTCTTTGTTTTTATTGTTGTTCTAATTGTACTAGAAAGGTTTGTTTGGAAATTGTTGCTAATTTTGTTTTTTGTTTCTAAAATAATAATTTTCTTTTAATTCTAAATTATTTTAGAGAAAGCAAAACTTTAATCTTTTTTCTCTTTTGAATATTTTCACCCAAAATCCTTTAAATATTTCTGTATTTTTAAAATTCCTACTCTCTATTTTTTGTCCAAAATAAAATTAAAAACAATTTATATTTAAATAAATTTATTTTTCTCAGTTAATTGATTCAAATGGCTGTTCTCTCGATCAAAAATTAATTTCCAATTTCCAAATGCAAACAACAATAACCCCAACATTACGAACTTTTTCCAAAAATTCTCTAAATAATTCCCAACTTTCAACAACACCAAAAACAGTTTTAGCTTCAGCATTTATTCCCTCAATTTTTAAATTAGATTCGGAAAGTACAACAATAAGTGGGGATTTGTTGAAATTTGAATGTTTAGTTGAACCTTGTAATGGGAAAGAAATACTTTGCAATTTCCCTCAGGTTTAGTTTGACCAATTTTTTGTTATGATTTTCAATAGAATTTTTAAAATAATTTTATTTTTGTTGTACATAGTACGTTTAGTTGAGCTTTGTCATCCAACTTTTCTTTAAATTAATTTTTGAATACACATAATCTCGAAATGAATATGAGCCCATTCACTAGACGATACCTGTACTAAAATTATTTTTAAATTTGGATAATTAAATAATTTTTATATTTCTTTATTCTCAAAATTTCAATCTCCTAAAATAATTTACAAATAATTTAAAATTAATTATTAATTTTAAAATTTTTCTTTAGAGAGATTGTGAAACTAAAATAACAACAACAACTTCAACACCTTCAACAACAACCACACAAAATATATTTGAAAAAGATAATGAAGAAAATATTGAAGGGGAGGAAGAAGAAGAAGCTTTTAAACAACAACAAGCAGAAAATGATTTAGAATTAGTTACAACACAATTATTAAATAATGAGGAAGAAGGAGATAATGTAATAAAATAAAAAATATTTTAAATTAAATTAAATTTTGTTTTTAGTTAAATAAAAATATAACAAAAATTAATTTAATTCAAACAACAACAACAATAAATACTCTTTCTTTAATTAATTCTTCTAATATTCCTAATATTTTATTAAATTCTGATTCTTTTTTGGGTAATAATTTAAAATAAATTAATTTTAAAAAGTGGCCGACCCCAACTTAAAAAAATATTAAAAAATTGGATGGGACTTGGACCCGAGATTTCTTTGATTGCAAAATTGGTTTTGTTAACCTTTCACTCATCCCACCAACGACTGATCTTTTTCATTTCTGTTTTATTTGTTAGGCTTTTCCGGTCTTATAAAATTTACTTGAAAATTATTTTTTGATTACTTTTTTGTAAAAAATTATTTTTAAAGAAAAAAGACAACAAAATGTAATCCAAATAATTGCACATGTACGGGACAGTAAAGAAAAATTAAATGAAGAATTAACTAATAAAAATAATAATTCTTTAAATTTCAATGAAAAATTAAATATTTCAGCCACAACAATTGGTATCTAATTTTTAGTTTTTTCTAAAAAAATTTTCTTTTTTTAAAAAGATCCATTAGAAAATCAATCAGAAACAACCCCTTTATTTGTTCCAATCAGAACTTTTCGTCTTCGAACACGTCCAACTAACTCTCCTTTATTAACAGAACAACCAAATATTTCTTTAGAAAGCACAACACAACAAAATAATTTTGAAGAAAATAATACTTTAACTACATTATTTGAAACGGTAATTTTTGGGGGCAAAAATTTTTTGAATTTCTTTTTGATTCGAGATTTATTTTTAAAATATTTTTAATGAATTTTAAATTCCATTTATCAAACTGTAAAGCATATGTGTAGCTATTTAATTTCTAATGCTACGGTTACATAAAAATCGCGCGCGACACGCGACAGAAAAGATAATGTAAAAAGAGGAGAGAAAAATCGCGCGCGATTTTGTCGCTTTTTTCTAGTGGTTACATAAAAAGCGACTTCCGCCGGCGTCTTGTCGCGCGCGACTTTGTCGCTTTTTTGAGTGGTTACATAAACCGCGACTTCCGCCGGCGACATGTCGCGCGCGACTTTGTCGCTTTTTCTAGTGGTTACATAAAATGCGATTTCCGCCGGCGACTTGTCGCCGGCGACACTTTTTTTGATTCAAACATGTTTGAATTTTCGGCGACACTTTTTTGCGACATGCTATTTCTCGATCAATTCTGATCCGATTTTCAAAATTTAAAAAGATTCTGAAAGTTCAGTTTATTCTCTATCGATCAATATAAATTTTATATTTTTAAAGTTAAATCTTATGGGTTAAAATTGATTTTGAAAAAGGTATACTTTTTGCAAAAAATGTTCTTTTTTCGATATTTTTGAGATATTCAGTATGCCATCGAGTATTTATATTATAACATTTTTATCAACGGTCAAAAATTCTGATTTTTTGATATGTTGTAGAGCTTTTGATTCTCTATCAAATGATATCAAAAACATGAAAAAGTGACAATTTCTTGATGAGTTCCTCCTTATTTTGGGGAGGAAAAAAAGATAAAAAGAATTTTTTGAATTTTTTTGAAATTTTATGGGCTTTAAAATGAGCCTAAAAGAAAATTTTTTATTAAAGTTCTAGGGGTTTAAAATATTTTTTGAAGTACTGTATCTCCATTTCCTTGATCAAAATTAGAGGTCGGCAAAATCGCACTTCCGGGATCCCGAGTCGGGATTTGGATATAGTTTAGTATACCGGAGTTTTAGTTCCGATATCCGCGGAAAAATTTTCTGAAAAAATTTGACAAACCCATTTGATAAAGCATATTTTTCTGAGTATTTTCCACAAAACCGCTTAAAAATATCTTTTTCCGGTCCAGAGATATGGTTTTTTGAAAATGGCATTTTTCCCTTAAAAATTGAATTTTTCAGGCTTGTGCATGGATACGGATAATATCCGGATATCCGCGGGTATCCGCGGATATGTTTTTTTAAAAACTGGACGGATACGGATGGATACGGATATGATGCTCCAAATCCGCGGATATCCGTCCCCATTTTATGCGATTAAACTTCACCGATTAAATTTTTAAATTTTAAAATACATTTTTCCAAGAGAAAATAATTATATTCCCAACGCCAGGAGATAAATAATTGACTCTGGCACATGACCCTAACCCAGACCCAAAGGTCAAACACGACCCCGGAACACGACATGCCCTGACTGGCAAACCCTGATCCCCAACGATCCCGAACCCGAAGGCTCGGGGAGACCTGCTCAGTGCAAAATTTTTTAGAATTTTTAAAAGCCAAGAAACCAGATTTCATCCTCTTCCAGCGCCGCAGGCGAAAATTTAGAGAATTTTATAAGGCCTTAAGATCGGGATCCCGGAAAATCTCGTCGGGATCCTGTCCCGCGCCTACCTCTAATCGAAATATCAATGGAAAAATTCTAAAAAATCACAATATAAAAGCCACAATAAAATAGTGGCAACAAATTGTCCTATACATTACAGTACTCTGACTTTCACCACCGTGAAAATTAGAGATAAATAAATAAAGAAAATATAGTTGAAAAAGATAGAAAAACTAATAATTTAGTGGTTACATAAAAATCGCGCGCGACACGCGACAATCGCTAGGCGACAAGACGCGCGCGACAGTCGCTAGTGACGTGGTTACATAAAATCAGCGTTTGTCGCTTTGCGACAGTCGCTTTTGCGGAAGACGCCGATTTTATGTAACCACGCCACTAGCGACTGTCGCCGGCGACATGTCGCCTAGCGACTGTCGCGTGTCGCGCGCGATTTTTATGTAACCGTAGCATAAGGCTATGCAGTAGGCGGCGTGGTGTAATGGCTGACACATCAGTCCGGTCTACTGAAGATGCTGGTTCGCACCCAGCTGCCGATTAACCTTTTGCACTAGCTAAAGGAGAGAAATAGCTATAGCCCAGCTGCTTTACTAAATTAATTACTTAATATCCCAATTAATTTTTTAATTTTTTAAAGTCATCTATTTCGTCTCCAATTTTGTCAACATCTTCTTATTCTTCCTCCTCTTCATTAAATTTCTGTTCTCCTCCAACAACAACAACTAATTGTATTTCACAAAACCAATTAATTCAAATATTTTGGATTAGCATATTTCTTTGTTTTATTTTTGTTTTTGGATGTTTTTGTAATTTATTAGTTTGTTGTTTTGGGAATAAAAGAAGTAGTAATGAAGGAAGAAATATTCAAAATTCTGGTAAATGGCAAAAATATGAAAAGAAGGGAAAAGGAAGAATTGTTATTGGGGGACAACAAAAGGTGGAAATTAAATTTAATTAATTAACAGAATTTATTTTGTTAAAGAAAAAAATCAAAAATTATCTAAAAATATACAAAATTTAAATTATCTATTTAGGGGAATTTTTTGAACTTTATTTAAAAAATATTCAACAAAAAAATTAAGAAATTACTTCTTGAATCACGCTTTTAAATATCCACATATTCGTATTTAAAAGTGACTACATATGTATTAGTGTTTCACCGGAACCGATATTTTGACCGGATTCCATTTGAGTTCCGACTCCCGGAACCGGAACCAAAAAACGCCGGAACTTCCGGTGAAGCTCTACTACATATAAAGATTGGAGGTATTTAAAATTGAGATTTGACTGTACTAGTCTTGTATAGATTTTGGTTATTTTATTTTTATTTTATCAATCAAAATTTCTATTAAATCTAAAATTAAAATAATTCATTTTAAAGTTAATTTCTGCCATTAATCCCCAACAATTAAATTGCCCTCCCTATAATTCAAACGATACAATAAACAAACAAAAGAAACAACAACCAACAGAATCTTCAGACTTGTGGATTAGCAGTAATGGTGTTAGTTTTAATGAACGAGTTGGTGGTGGACAAGAAAATGGAAGAGAATGTTTAGAGATGGGTTAGTAGTAAATATTTTAAGAAAAACTATTCCTTTTTTAAAGAATCTAGCCATTTTGGCCATAGCAACACAACAAGTATTTATGGGGCTTTACCCATTCATAACCCTCAAGGAAATACACCTTCAAACAGACGATGTTCAATGCTTTCATATGCCTCAGTAAAAGCACCTACTATACATTCAACTCTTGCAGGACGTTGTTCTAATGCTAATATAATACAAAATCAAATACCAGCTTCTCGTATATTTTCTTCAAGTCAAAATCAACAAAATAATAATAAAAATATTAGGTAGTATTTTTAGTAAAAATAAAAATTTAATTCTGAAATTAATTAATATTTTCATATTCGCTTATTTGTTAGCCTTAGAATTCCTATCCCCACTAAAATATTTAGTCCTTTACAATATTCTATATCTTCAAAAAATATTTCTAAAATAATTTTAAACAAAAATTTAATTATTTAGAAGTACATCTCCATCATCTCTACATTCTCCATCAACTACAAATACTTCTTCGAGTGGAGGGAATGGAATGAGAGAGAATACAGTTGATCA